CGCGAGACTTCTCGACACAAGTACTCTGTGTATTCAAGATATTCAGGCTACAATCTCTCGCATCGCTTCTCGTCGTGCATACGTGCGCCGAGTAACTTTTGCGAACGAACGAATCAACCGATCGCTCTGACAGACGAGCTCTTTTTTTTAACCTTCCGGTCCGATCATTTTACGCACAATATGTACAATTATTCGTTTTCAACTGTGCACAAACGGCTGCCTGATTGCGCGATCCCGAACGGGAAAAAAAAAGGTGCCTTTTCGAAAAAAATACTCCGGTACAATCTCTATTCTTTTCGTCGTTCCGTGGTATCCCGTTTCTGTTAAAACTCTCGCGAAATGCAACCAGTCGCTGCAACAAGATCAATGAAGAGTTTGGTTACGTTAACTTAACGGAAATTCTTCCAGAACCGGAAAAAGATTCCATTTCAAACGAAATGAAAGCAGAAGAATCGTGAAATGTAAAATGGAACCTAAAATTGAAAGAAATACAATCTACAATACTGGGGATGAGATACTATATTTAAATTATAAAAAAGTATTTTTCTTATCGTTTTATCATATTTTTTTTATAGATATTTCTAATTTTCCATATTTGTCTAGGTAATTCTTATTATTATAGTCACTTATAGTCACGTGTATATAAGATGAATGCACTCTGCTAAAACTTCTCAAATATTTTATGCATGAATTTAAAAATTAATTTAATTTAATCTTCAAGATACTGCAATAAACTGGAATTTCTTGTTGTTTCATAGACGTTTTACAAAAAAAATTATTTACGAATAGCATTGCAAAAGAGAATTTTTGATAAACTCAAGAGATTTTACAACAGACATTTATTTAATTGCATTTAGTTTATCGTTTTTATATTCTACAGAAACTGGTAATATTAGTCTGGGGTTGTAGAGAACTGACATTTATCATCTTCAACCTCTATTCTGATAAGTTGTCAGTTGAAACAGAAAGTCATAAATGCATTAGAGAGTAATTTCTCAAGAGAAGAATGTTTAGACAATGTTCAAACCAGTTTATTTGTATGCACGTGTATGTGCATGTAATAGTACATGTGACATATTACACATACACTATTGCACATGTATATTAGTGATATATTACACAAATGTATGCTTGACTTGTACAAGTATTATACACATACCAACCAAATCATTTTATATTTTCGACGTATGTGACAAAGAAATATAATATTAATAAATAATGCAGATGGAAGAATTACATTCGACAAATACATATATAATTTATTGCGTAAATGTTGCGTAACGAAAGACTTTCCGGTAAATAATTTATAGATTTGTATTATTCATGATGTCGACGATACCATACATATATAATAAATATGTAAAAGACAATTTACATTTTTCAGATTTGATCACAATAGATAGTTTGACTCTCGAAACCCACTTTTATTTAATTTTTCGAGCCAACGTGAATTTTGCGAACTAAATATTTCTTTTCGTTTTTTACTGTATCAATCTAAAGATGGCAGTTATTTTTCAAAATAATATTTCAGGAAATGAGAGAACTATCTAAAAATAATATCTCGTGCGAAATATAAACGTATCTCTGGCAAATAGTATAATGATTATCAAAGGAAATTTTTGCGGAATCTGAGAAAGATTAAAAGATATCTCTCTCATATTATTTTACGACAAAAAAAATCTTGAAGGTATTTTGAAAAAATTGCACATACGTCTCTCCGTTTTACTTGTTAATCCGATGGAAATAATCCGTTCCCAGTTCCCAGAAAGGGTACTATTTCACTTAGTCTCTCGTTAATTGATAATCTTGTTAATTAAAATTATTGCATCATCCGAAGTGAAAAAGGTAGAACGAGATATGCTGATTTAGAGACAAAAAAGCTGTTACATGTTATATAACTGTCATGTGTTAAATAACAATTATATTGTTGAGTGGAAAATTAAATAACTAATAATTGTATAATTGTTACTTGGTGTTTGCTGGGTATGCATTCGCGTGGGAGGACGGATACGCGGATGCTTGTGATGAAAATGTCTCTTATCTTCCAATCTGGATCGCACTTCAGAAAACAACGGCGTTTAATATCGTTTTGTTACCCCCTCATTACCTCGAACGTGCTCTTTCGCTGCATCGAGAATGCATTTCCCTTTCGCGACAGACGCGATGCACCTGTTATTCGGCAATTAAATGTCGGGCATTCTTTTTCTAACGAGCGCTTTGCCATTTTAATTTCGCGAATAAATCTCGCTGTGTCGCCCTGCACGGCAAGAGTTTCGCGTTAAAAGGCCACCGCTTGTACATCATTCCATGTATATACATGTATATGTATGTACCTGGGTATATAAACCCCTTTTTAAAGTCCCTGGGTGGAGCATCCAGTTCTCCATCCGGAGACGAGGAGGAAGATAAATGTGATGTAATGACGGCGCCTGTCGGAAGGGAAGGATTTAAGAAAGGGGTGATGGACGAATTAAGGGCGGACACCGATACCTTACGCTCGGGGAACATCCGACGGGTTTGCGGGCGAGTCTGCCGACTCGCGCGATCGATCGACCCTCATCACGAAATAATGAGCGGCCACACGAGCTAGCGAATAATCGCTCCACGTGTAATTCTCTCTCCTTGCGCTCTCTTTCTTTCGAAATAAACGCGAACAGCGCGTCTTTTCATTCAATCAAAGTCGAAAATTATCCATCTTGATAGGATCCGATCACTTGAAGATCACATTAAAACTTGTCTGATCATTGATCTTGATCACTGCCGTTCAGAACTGTTACCTTGAATTTTCAAATTTAATTTTTAATTTATTATGGTTGATTGCATGAAAAAATCCGATTATTATTTGCAATTTTAATTTTTCCATCAATTATATTCAAAACGTTATATATATATTTTACATTAGAATTTAATGAGATATAAAAAGAAAGCTTGATAAAAATCTAAAAGTGCATTAATGTTACTAGTGCAATTCCTCAAACATTTATGAAATTACTGATCGTATCTCTAGTACCATAATCCTGACAAGAAACAAACGAATATTTTAAAATTGCATTGTCTGATATGCAATCAGCAGATGAGGTTTAAATCGTTCTAGAAATACGACGCGTTATATTTGAACGTTATCGTGAAATGTTTCACGAATATTTAACGACTCTTACGTCAGACACATTTTTAAAATTTTTACATCGACCTTCGTAATATCCTTTGCAAGTTTTTTTTTTTTTTAGTAAGACCAGCATTGTGCGACCGGTTAATAGGTCGCTGAAAATCGATACGTTCCCTTCCGTGAAACATTCACGACGGGATATTTTCGACCCTAGAATGTCGGGACGATGGAAAGGCGAGTCGCAGAATTCAAAATACGAAATAATAATTGCGATAATTGTATACGCGTCTTTTATTTAATGATTTAAATTGTGTAATGTAATTTAAATATACTCGGAGAGGGGATGAAATTGATTTCCTCCCCCGAGGAACGCGCTCTGAACCGTTGCCATTTCTCGAACACGTGTAGGAGAGTTTCGGACCGAAAACCCACATGAAATTATAGCGACTCGCGCGTATTCTAATATCCCCCCTCCCCTGCTCCATATACGTCGTCGTAACAAGTTGCGCCGCATTATTCACCCATGTAACGCGTTATTCGTATACGAGAGAAACGTATTTCGCTCTCCCGTGCCATTTACGACGAATTACGCGCTTGGGTAATGTAACTCGGAGACCACGCATCGTTCATTCTCTTGCGTGCGACCGTGTCGTTTCTCGCACTCGCGTCTTGGTAATGTGCCTTTCCCCAGAAACTGTCTTTACGATGAATGGCGTTTAATCGCCATGCCACGTTCGCCGTCACGGTCGTTAGTTTGTACCGCGACTTTGAAGCGCTTTGCATACCCTGATGGGGAGAGCACACTGATAAACATAACTCATGAGCGTGCAAATAAGTACACACGAGTGGATTAAAATATATCGTGCTACACTCGTAACTTTATACAGATGCAACGAAATGACCGGATAAAATTGTTGCCGCGTTCAAAAGCGATGCAATGTTGTATTTGTTTTATTTCTCTTTCGAAAGAAGAAAAGACGAAGATTTTTTTTTGCAATTAAAGTCCATCATAAAAATGCGTTCCTTTAATTTTATTTTTATTTCCATTTGTGTGTATTCGTTTGAATTGGATTAAAATAGTAAACTGTGTCTATTTGAGGCACAGATTAGACTAGCACAATGTTATCGTAGCCGCAAAATTGTGTAAAACTAGAAGGGAGCACGCTTTCTCGAGTAGAACCATAATTGCACAGATTAACCCGTTAGTTACTCTCATACACTCGGAATATTTACATCGGATCTCATCTGTTAATTAAGACGGGGAAAGAGATCGCGAGGGATTAAAAGGAGACGCGCGAGTTCAAGTTTATTTTTCCCAAAGATAAGTTTAATCAAGTAGCGCGTTTCATGGAAGCGGGGCTTTTAAAGTTCAATTTGCATTTATAGTTTTATTTGCGACCTATTAAACTGCGGGGAGGAATAATGTTCTCTCATTCCTCCCCCTCCCCTCTTACCGCCTAATGGGGATGGAGTGGGTGCCAACTCTTGGTTCTTCAGGCGACGCCGCCGGCGCAGTTTTTTTTTTTTTTTTTTCGTAAGTATCTTTCATCGGGAAATTTTAAATTACCTTGTTGTTCGAGACGGAAGTTTGAACGAGCTTCGACAAGAAACGGACCTAACTTTGTGGATGATTATGTAGTCGGCGTTAGGAAATATTTCTACGTTTCATCTATTAAACATCAAAGCGAATACATTATATCAAAGCGAAATAAATCTGACGTAAATTTTTCCCTCTGAGAGGCACGTACTTTCCTCCTTAACTTAGCGTACATAATCGACTAGGAATGCTATTAACGTACAATAATTAATCTAATCAAGAAACTGAATTCCAATCTTTTGACATCATTACGTGTTACATGAATCTCACGAAAGCTTTTTGTAATCTTTGTTGCAGTGATGGCGCATAAATATTGCGAGCTGAACGGCACGTGGTTCCGGCATCCTGAATCTAATCAAATATGGAGCAATTACACGACCTGCGTGAATCTACAGGATCTGAGTGTGAGTAAGAATTTCCAAAGGTACACAGTAAAAAATAAAAATGTTAATTACAACATTTTTCACATGTCCCAGAAAGTTCACTCTAAAATTTTAAGTTAAAATAACTCCTTCGTCGTATGTTATTTATTGACAAACTAAAAATGTTAAATAAATGACACAATACTTCACATTTATTTATGTTATTTATTGTGACTTTAAGTATGATGTAAAAATAACATACAAATTAATTAAAAATTACATGAAAAAATAGTTACAATTCACAAATTACATTTATGTTATTGTGACTTTAAGTATAATGTAAAAATAACATACAAATTAATTAAAAATTACATGAAAAAATAGTTACAATTCGTAAGAAATGTTGAGGATATTAATATATAATAGTAATTGTTTTAACCTAAATTATTTGTAATAGAAACATTTGATTTTAGTAAATTTGATTATTTTTGTCCGTCAAAGTTCAAGATTATTCCAAGATTCACTTTAACTTTTCTTAGAATGTTAAACCGACTTTGAAACATGTCGATTGTTTAAAACGATTATGTCAAAAATACTCAAAATAATATTCCATTTCTAAGAGATTTATACAAAGTGTTAAGTTATGAAGTTGACATAAATGTAACACACGAAGACGTTATCAAAATAATAACATATAAGTTGCATGTTAATTTTACATTAAAGAACTAATGAAAACACAAAAAAATTTTAACATATGGACGCACAATTTTTTACGGTGTATCAACTGCTTTCCGCATCGCGAAAATAAATTAAATTGACGCCATCAAAGATTTCGTGTCAAAGATATGGAAGAAAATCAAAGAGTGCGATCAAAAAAGAACGAGATGAGAAAATCGATCCTTAAAGATCTCGAAATTCGAATGCTTAAGAAGGACGCGTATGGTCTAGTTATTTCCCTGTGGGAAATACATGTAAATCCGCGATACACGTAAAAGAGTCCCAAACACATACATCCCCTCAAAGTCTCCCCCGCGTGACACGTCGTTCGTCCTGACACGGGTTCGATTTTGCATTATTCTGTCCGAAGGCACACGATCAGCGCACGACTCGCGGTATATTCCCTCTCGGGAGCTAATATCGTTTGAGCGAGACGCGTTTGTTGAAATATTTGAAAGACACGCGCGTTGTATGCATACGACAGGGAACGTCCTATTACTTACTTTACATCGGAATCGTAGCGACGGGACAATTTCAACGATCACGCGACCGCGACTTGCAATCTATCTCTGGGACAAACTCTATGCATTACTCGCTTGAGAATATCCCCGATAGGCCAATCTCGGATGATAATACGAATATTACGTCGATATAGAGCGGAAAAAAGTTTCTTTTTTTCTTCTTGCCTCTCTTTTACATTCGAAGAACCGATTTCTCCATCGCTCCGCGTACGTCGCGGATTTATGACGCGCCAGGAGTATCAGTAAAAGGAGAACGCGCGAGGCATAAAAAAAGAGGCAAGTGCGAAATTGCGGAGCTAAATTTCCCAGTTTTTCTTCCTCTCTCGAAAAAAAGAAATAAAGTAAAAGTCCCTCCCTCATTTTTCATCGTGTCTAATATCTCTCGCGTGCGGCATTTTAAAGACATCGCGAAAGCGGCGGCTGCCTCTCGACTCGAGGATAGAGGGATTTAGTCGGGATTTTTCGACTCCGCTCATTAAATCCGAGATTGAAGGGTCGGGAAACATCGGACGTTCCTAACGCGCGCGAGACGGAGCGATAATGTGATGAAGGGCTTGTGAGAAGCCGCTTTTGCGTAACGCTACGTCCGCGTGTCAACATCCTTCTCACGCAACGTGCTATTCATTAGGACCGGCTTCATTTTGATACACACGCAGGGAACTATGACACGCTAAAGCCGCTCTCCTGACATACCCATCAACGTTCGACATTCACTTGTAACGCGCATTGACATCAATGTCGATGCTTGCGCTTTTATTTTTCATCGAGACGTCGATGAAATTGCGAGCGCGAGGCCGCAGCAGGCAACCGTTCCTAAATCGAATTCTTACAAAGCTCCATTGTCACTATGAGGTAAGATACGAGGGACACATCGAGTAATTTAAATTTCACGAGACGAAAGACTTTAAATGTACGGATATATAAATTTACATGATTCAGATGATAAATTGTAGTACGTAGTAAAAAAAATTGTGCCGCATGTTAAAATTTTCTTCTGTCGCCACGTTTTGATTAGTACTTTAATGTAAAATTAACATGCAATTTATATGTTATTATTTTGATAACGTTTTCATGTGTTACATTTATGTCAACTTCATAACTTAACACTTTGTATAAATCTCTTAGAAATGGAATATTATTTTGAGTATTTTTGACATAATCGTTTTAAACAATCAACATGTTTCAAAGTCGGTTTAACATTCTAAGAAAAGTTAAAGTGAATCTTGAAATAATCTTGAACTTTAACAAAATAATAAAAATTTTACAAAAATAATCAAATTTACTAAAATCAAATGTTTCTATTACAAATAATTTAGGTTAAAATAATTACTATTACATAATGTCTTCAACATTTCTTATAAGCTTTGTAATTATTTTTTCATGCAATTTTTAATTAATTTATATGTCATTTTTACATTACACTTAAAGCCATAATAACAAAAATAAAAGTAAAGTATTGTATCAATTATTTAACATTTTTAGTTTCTCAATAAGTAACATACGACGAAGGAGTTATTTTAATTTAAAATTTAGAGTAGACTTTCTGGAACATGTGAAAAATGTTATAATTAACATTTTATTTTTTACTGTGTAAATTGTGCAAAACAAATATATAGAATAAATGGAATAACGAAATAATTTTCTAATAAATTGATAAGCAACAAAAAACTATGCAGCATGAGAAAAAATTGCGCGATTGGCCTCGGGAAAATATGACTTAAGTACTTAATAATCTGTATTTTCCGAGTTTATTGCAGTTTCCCAATCCCAAAGGTGAAGGGCCAATTTTCCGGGTCAAAAACATTAATGAGCATCTTACGTTCTTTTTATCGTGAAAATTCAAGATTAGTTTAGAAATTACCGAGTTCCCCCTTTGCTTAATTAGACGCGATTTCTCCCGCATCAGTTCGCTCGATCGTGGTCATTCGTTTAATGCCCGAGAGAGCTTGACGTAGGGAACACGAAACGGTGGAAAATACTTGGTCTCTTATTTAATGCGACGATAAGGCGCGCGCTTATCTTTCGGGTCCAGAAAAACTAGAAAAGCTCGAGAAAGACAGAGATGAAATATATATTTTTACATGTATTGTCCCTCCACATGCATGCCCTTGTCGGTAATCTAACTGAGTAATTTCTACCTCACACAGTATCTCTTCCTGTTGACTTAATCCTTCCGCCTGCGGAAAGCGCGAGGTCAAAATGAAAGGACTCATTAAACTCTGTTAATGAGACGCCGTCATAATCAAGTTACCTTTGCACTCTGCTCTTTTATCTAAGTTTTTTTCTCTTGCAAATTACAAAATAATACATATTTCACTCTTTGCGGAGGATGGACATCCCGGACTTTTTAATATTCACACATGTGTGACGTGAATGAGTGAATGTTGCGTACGCACTGCGTTGCATTTTCAAATGAAACCGATTCTTTGTACGTTATGACAAAAGCCTTTGTATTCACACCCTCGTATACACAATGAGCACTTATACACGCGATCCACGTTTATTTCTAACATCAGCAACATCTCGATTCCGAAGTAAATATGATCACTAAAATAGAAAATACAGCTTACGCAAATAAACGCACTCAAATTGCATCGAGTGATAATTTTGTATCGACAAGCGATTTTGTCTCCGCACAAATATATATGTAAATACAGATAAAATTTTCATCATCCGCATCGATCGCTTTTATTTGACAATTATTTTAAAAGCGTGTTCTCATGCACTTTAAAAATCCATGTAAAATTGAATCGAATTTTATTACCTTTTTTTCGCGATGCTGATTGATACGCTTCGTATCGTGAGAGACCGTTAATCGTGTATTTTGACAATTCAAAGATTGATAATCTATAATATGAATAATTATTCGATTTTAATATCAATTAATTTGACGACACAACATTATGTAACATTTTATTCATTTTTTTCTTGCACGGATATTTTGCTAACGTTCACATCATATGAGTAATATGTCAAAATCTTAATCTTATAAATAATAAAATCGGAAGAGGAAATTTAAATCTTATAATCGTTAATTTTTAAGGATTTATTCGAAGAATCAAATTCAATATTATCTGAATAAGAATTAGAAAATTAATGAGTCGATATGTACACAGAAAAAAGGACATTCTTACTTTGAAAATATATTTAGTTTTAACATGGAAATCTTGAAATGAGATTATATTCCGTTAATTAAAGAAAAATATAATTGCTTAAATAATTGCTTACTTGAATGAAGTCATTTTATATAGTTCAATCAAGCAAAATATTCTTATGATTTAGGATTTAATTTTCTTGAATGGAAAGGAAACAATGTTAAAAAATAACATTTTTAAATAAAAAATTATAATTTTCTTAAAGTAGAATTAAATAATTATATTCTTGCGGTACAATTACAATATTAAAATAAGACTATAATATTGTTAAAATTTAAAATTATTAAATTCTTCTAAGAAGATTATAAATTGTTGCGAATATACGAAACAATGAACGTTATTTTTTTTCTGTGTACATACATATATGGCTTTAAATAATTTTATTTGACGTTAATGTTTCATCTTTGTTGCTTTCATAATTTATATCATTATAATCCCGATATTATTTCCGATACTTGCTACGATTTTTAATTAATTTTCATACAATTTAAATGTATTACTTTGAATACACATACATTCTAGATATATTATGATGATATTATGATGTAAAAGCATCGCGACAAATTTGCACGATCAGAATATAATAGACACACAACGTTCCTTTTACTTACATGCTTTAATAATGTTTGATGATATTCTATTCATAAGTTTCACAGGATCTAATCATTTTAGAGAAGGAATTTAAATTGAAGTAGATTCTAGATGAACTTCTATAAAGTATTCTCCTGAAATATTCGTCTGAATTTATCACGTCTTTATTCAAGTAGAGGGAAGAAGCAGTATAACACGAAGGTCTTGCATAACTTTATTATATAGGATTAAATTTCAATGTCACGAAATGAAGATATGCAATTTATTCGCATGTACAATATTAATATAGTGGTCCTCGCATATAATTTCCCGACAATTGTTGTATTCACATAATTAGAGACACTGAAATCAAACTGGACACGAGCCAGAAGTCCGCCATGTTTCTGCTAAATCCTACGAGACAGAAAGATATATAAACTATTTCACATTTTAACTCTAACTTCACTTATCTAACTTAACATATAATGTATGTACGTGTAATGACGTGCGTCACGTTCGATCAATTGAATACTTTGCATGCAGAATATTAAGCAATAAAAGGTTTCACTATTATATAATAATAAATAAATATTATTATATTATTATATTATATACATATAAATTGTAACTGATTGCAAAATGGGTGGATGCTCGGTGCAATTTTGCAATAATTCTTCAAAAAAAAGATATATTCTGCCATAATTTATAATATATAAATAAAAAAATAATAATAATATACATATCACGATTTATTTTTTAAAATTATAAAAAGATTTATAGTTTTTAGATTAAAAATTTTTTATAAAGAAGACAAAACTAATTTTAAAAAAGTATACGATAGCAAATCTATGGCTATGCATTTTTGCATTTAAATAATAATAAGTGATAATTATAAAATTATTATTTCTTTTTATTTAAATGCAAAAAGCGTAACTTAATAATAATAATAAGTTATAATAATAATCTTATTTATAATAATAAGCTAATAATTATTTATAATAATAATCAATAAAGCATATATATTATAATAATTAATAAGTAAATATAATAAGTAAATATTGCACAAAAATATTAAAATTATATTTGATTTTATTGTATTTTTTATTAACAGATTTAAAAATCAGCGGAAATAGCAGAAAAATGGCACCATTCAAAAGTGATTAACTCGTGTCCAATCTCTGATCTCAATGTCTTTACACATAATGAAACATCATGCTTGAACATTGCATCAGAAAGTTTCAAGAATGAAGAGGTATTACTTGAATTGGCTCATATTTAAACGATAAATAATATTTTGTTATCTTCTTTTGGAGTTTCGAAACTTAACTTGCTCGAAAGTTCCTAAACTTTCTCTTGAGTTTCGAGCGTTTCTATGTCACGAGAGAAACTTTTTCGTACATTTTCCTTCGAGCGAAGAGATGGTCGTAAAAGATAGTATAATCCAGTAACACACAAGAGATGAAGACAGCTTATTAGCGCTTATTCTTTTAGGTATCTCAGAGATAACTATAAACCATGATAGTTAATTTATTTGAAGTGTCAAGGTTGACGTGCGCAAACCGAGAGATGAATTATTATCTGTGTGGTATGCTGTTATAAACCATCATCTTTAGTTATCTGACGTTTATGAAAAGGCATGCATTTAGTAATCTGACGTTTATGAAAGGTCAAATAGAATTCATCCTACAAGCATAACGAAGTTATTTAAATACGTCGATTCACGTTGTTTTCTTCTGACTTGAATTGCAAATTTATCGTACGGTTGCAAAACTGCAATTTTAATAAATTTCTATTGTGTACGAAACTTGTTTGATCCGTATTTTATGAAATCTCTCAAAAAATAAAAATATTTTATAAACTAAAATATTTTTTTACTTGAATATATATTTAGTTAAATTAAATATAGTAGTAACGAAGTTATTCAAATACGATTGACATTGTTTTCTGCCGACTTGAATTGCAAATTTATTATACGGTTGCAAAACTGTAATTTTTATAGATTTCGAAATTTTTTTCATCCGTATTTTACCAAAACTCTCGAAAAATAAAAATATTTTATAAATTAAAATATTTTTTTTACTTGAATATATATTTAATTAAATTAATTATAATATATATATAATATATATATATATATATATATATATATTTATAATATATATTTACTTAATATATTTTTGCTTCATTATATTAACTTATCGTTTTATTAAATTCTCTCTCAGCTCTCTCATAATTAAATCGATGATATCGCACGATATTGTCACGTTCCAACTGAATTCGTCGCGTTCACGCGAGATCCAATGCAATCGGTAAACAGCGATAGCCCGATTTTAATTTGACAATACGACAGGTATTGCGAAATTGAGGATCTGTCTTGTCTCCTAATATAAACGGATCGCGCATGCAAATGACAATAAGCTGTAATGTACATGTGAGATAATTCCTGCTATCGATACATAATAAAGCCAAGAGTGAAGGCAGCTCCGAATATACAATACAATTATCGTTTGTTCGCGTTGATAAAATTTATCATGTCCCCGCATGCAGCAGCGATATAATTTCCGGGACCTGCATTTAATCCGGTCCGGCCCGGAGAGAAGAGGGAGAGAGAGAGAGAGAGAGAGAGAGAGAGAGAGAGAGAGAGAGAGAGAGAGAAGAGGGAGAGAGAGAGAGAGAGAGAGTGAGAGAGAGACTCGTGGCTTTTCTATCAAGTGCCGTGTAATTTCAGGATAGAACTCAGAGTGTATCTGGAGATTGCGTACGCTCCCGAACTTCATGAATTATTTAGCGCCGACTACACTGTAGCCCGGCGTGAAACACATGTGACCCGGTATGCGAGCCCTTCCGTTTAAGCTCCGTGCAGGCTTGATTTTCATAATTATGACATTCACATTCAAAATGTCCGAATCAAATTCAATAAATTTGCCGTATTTCATTTTCTGCGTCACGCTTTAGTCTTCTTCAGCAATAAATTCAACATTGAAACGCGATCTTTTCATTCCTCATGAAATTAATAAATTTGAAATTTTATTATTGCGATAACTATAATAATGTATATAATATTATAATATATTTTCCGATAAAATACTTATGGTAATTTTAGTAATTAAAAGAAATTTTAATCAGTAATAATTAGAAGAAATTTTAATCAGTAAATAAGAAGAGTATGCGTCGATCCTTTGACAAGTCTTGCCAGAATATATGGATCAATATCTAATCATAAAATTTCATACAGGACCTCGCGCACACGTGGATTATTTCTTTTTGTTCTGTAAATCTCTTTTCTCCTTGTCTTTTAATATTTCGTATATCCTAGTACCACAGAGATTATGTTCAGGAAAGATGAAATATGAAATTCACATTTGCGCGGGACTTAAGCCGCCAGCACCTTATCCACAAGTAGCGGGCATGAATGCGTAGACTTGTACGAGGTTTCGTGCAAGCGTAGCGTTAATAAGTAACGCGACGTTTGTACGATGGCGGTTAAGAATAATGCCGGTTTCCGACCTCATTGAGAGCAGGGGAGTTTAGCGCTTTCCCTTCTCGTGATGTCTCTGCAACATCATTCATTCCAACAGTCCTGATAAATATGAAAATAGATTTCTATTCACGACGAGCCACGTCTTATTTCGCTTTACATGAATAAGCATGGCACATAGTTACATAATCGGGCTTCCGGATTTGCTATCCTTTCCAGCTTGAGACTCGCATCGATCAATTTTTCAGGCCCGAACCTGTCCTTGACGCAGGTCAATGAGACAGGTTTCCGGTCGGCTAGTCTCATAAATACTTCGTGACTGGCGGACATTTGTCATACGTAGGACAACGTTACAAAGCCTTATTACTGGGCGACTTTGCTTTGCAGATGCGGTAAGATTTGCATGTGCCGGCGTAAAGGAAGTACGGGGATTACCAGGGGAATGGACGGGCGGAAAGGGGGCGACCCGGGGGACACGGGAGGATCTTGTAAGCGAATGAATTTTAAAACGACAGCGGTGACGGACGACCGCGTCACTCGTGGATGAAAAAAATACGAGAACGCAATTTTTTACTCCTGACAACCACAAATTGTTCGATGCTTTCGTGACCCTTCCTTCGTTAACGAACGGAGTTCCGAAGTTCGTCGATCTTTTGGGCAACCGAAAAAATTCCTCCAAGAAAATCAAGTCAAGTCATTCCTAGGGAGCGCTTTAACAACAGACGAAAATTACCCGGGATAATCAGGGGATTGTAGCCAAATACGAATTTTCGGGTTCGTAGGTCTCAGGGATTTCCGTTGATACGAGAAAAAAGGAAAATTGTATCAAAACTTTGATTGCACGAAACAAGTTTTATTTGCACTATTTTGTTGCCTTGCAATTTTTCCTTTTTTTTTTTGAAGAAAATTCTTGACTGCCTTTTTGTTTAATTTTTTTTTTAATTTTGCAAATTTTGCCCAGTTTATATCGAGGCTGGCAAAAAAAAGTCGATTCTGCAAATACGAATATTTGACATTTCTATGCTGCGCTATTCTAACAATGTTAAATTACGAGAATTCGAGAAAATACTTTCCCGGATATTTTATATTTAATACATCCCCTTTTTTTAGCGATGTCTTATTCAGCCCAGATTACGACGATCTAGATTATGAGATTCGATTATCGAGATACTGCTTATTTCGAAATAATTTTACGCAACTAATCTGTGTATTAATTCCTTTTGCGGCGCACATGCGACTAGTTTGCGAAACGATAATTAATCAGAGAAGTGATCGGGGTCAGATTCGCGCGGTGTTCGCTCTTCACCATGTCGTAATTTCGAGCTTCAATCTGAAACTACGCAATTTCCCAACGGAAATAATGGGATCGGAGCTCGTGTCATCTGCATAATGCGAGAAAGAATTAATGAGCATTAAGGTGCCACTCTGAAAGTTATCAGTCCTGTCTACAACGCGAGAGAAAAATTTAAAATTTTTGATAATACGATTACAGTGGCAGCAGGGTATAAATGGAATCTACGAGGCGGGATACGCAATATCTTTGGTAGCGCTATTGCTTTCCCTAGGAATTCTCACGTACTTCCGGTAAGTTTTAAATTTATTGACGTTGTTATTATCTTCGCTACATCGAAAGAGTATTAAAGTTTGTGCGTTTGCGCGCTAATGCAACTTTGAAATTTACTTTTCGAGATATGTTTGAATTTAATCGAAAGAAAACTAGACTCGATAATAAAACCTATGTATATTAGAAAAATTGTAAAAAAGATTTTAAAAATCTTATAATGAGTGTGCAACAAAGCATATTATTTGAAAAAACTTCGTAATCTATTTCTAAATACATTAAGAGGCATCATTTTATATTTATATATATATATATATATATATATATATATATATATGTGCAGTATCAAAAGTGTGTTACTTATAAAATACAGAAATCGTTATTTTAATAAACAGAATATATATAAATATTATTAAATTATGTTTTATTATTGTTTTAATTTTTAATAATTTTAATGCTTTAGGAATTTTATAAATATGAACAAAACAGCTATCGCATCATCTTCAAAAAATACAGAAAATGCAAATAAAAATCCGTAAAATTTTTATTTAAAAAAATATAATCAGTATTGTATTGAATCATAGACAAGTTTTAGATATTACTTATTTAAGTCTGCATTATTATATTGGAAATACTACAATTGTAGACTAGTAGATTTTATTCGAGATATTGAACTGGATTCAATTTAGACGGATATCCTACCTTTGCGCACAATTATGTTTGCTGGATTCCCAGATCTTTCTTTATTACTCTGAAGCACGAAATTAAGGTTTCGGAGACGCAAGATTAAATCTTTTCTTTTTTTGTACGCAGATCTCTCAGATGTGCGCGGATTACGCTACATATGAACCTATTCACCTCGTTCGCGATCAACAATGCTTTATGGTTGATTTGGTACAGGTTTATAGTAGCAAACACGGATGTGCTACTTAATAATAACGTACGTATTCAAAATGTAACAGAGAATATTATATAATATGCGAAAGAGGAAATGTATAAATATATGAAATTTAATATAAGAATATTTTGTATTGAAATGTTCCAACTTCAAACATTTATTAAAATAATGAAAATAACATCTGTTAAAGAAATATCTTTTGTTTCTTCAACATCTATTACATTATTATCCATCTATAAAGAAAAATATATCAGCAATTTATTAATATAATTGCCGATACGAGAATTTAAAAAATATGAAAGAGATACAAATAAATGTTCACGGAATAAATTCGATAAAATGTCAAATTAATCGGAATAGTTATGTGACGCTGAATTAAACATAAAACGTTCTTCAACGATACATCTTATAATGATTGTAGAATTGTTAAAAGTGCAACTATTTATTTGTAGCCATTAAAAAATGAGACTATTGACAACATCATTAGGAAATATCGCATTTGAGCTCCGTGAGCATAATTATTCCGATTGACTTGACGAACGAACGTGGCTTGTTTGAGCGAGACTTTGAAAGAGACATTTATGAGCTGGGTCGTGCTTTGCAGATACCGTGTCGCGTCCTGCACACGTTCCTTCATTACTTTCTATTAACGAACTACGCCTGGATGCTCTGCGAAGGCTTTTACCTGCACACGTTGCTAGTGAGCGCATTCACCAGCGAGCACAAATTAGTCAATTGGCTGATGGGACTCGGTTGGCCGGTGCCAGCTGTAATCGTCACCCTGTACACGGCATTACGCGCATGCAGCGACGATCCCGCAGACACTGAGCAGTAAGTATCAATTCGTTAATCGATAATTCCTTAGAGGAATGCCGTGAATATAAAAAAAGAAATACTATCTCGGAAAAAAAGATTTTAATTGGGTCAAAAATATCGAGCTTTAAAGTAGAAAGAAGCTTTTACACACAAAATAAATAGTAAAAATAGAATGTTACTCTTTGTACTCGTTGCTTTTTATAGAGTTTAAATTAAATTGTTGTTAATATCATTGAGCGATTCAAGAGAAAAACTAATTGTGCGATTATTATTTTACAATATTATGCTGGATGTGAAAATTTTTCTTTCGATTGCAACGCATTTATTGTGTATTGTTAGATAGGTTTTCCATTCTCAGTGTTTCTTGGTGGATTTCGAACGAGAAGCTTGAGAAAGGGATGCATATAAAACGATGAATTAAGAGATCATCGATTAACATATTTCTTATTAAACTTTTATTTAAGTTAAAACGTTATGTCTCGGAAGGGTAGCGTTAAATCTTTTTTAATGCTGAAAAGGTGCCAGTCAGAAATTTCCATGAGCGAATTTTACATGCTGACACATGCAAAAGTTACATTCATTTCTTGTCTCGGAAGAAGAAACTCTACTGTTTTAATTTCAACCGCGATCGTATAATAGCAAGATCTGTAAAAAACGAGAAAGCAATTTTCCAATTGCGGTTAAGTGCGTAAAAAACTTGGTTTCTATCTGAGAACTAATCGTGCCCCGAATTAGGGTAACACCTCAGATTCTCCCATTTGCGATAAACGACAGGGGTTTGAGAGGGAGAGAGGTGGAGGATTCAACGAGCCTTCTAATTAAAGTGTTTGGATTGCCGTTGGAGACTATTGACCCGCGGCATCAGCCGACCACGGAAAGGCTGCCGGTCGACACTAATTTCTCGGCAAGAACAGCATGCGGTCGATGGACGGTACGTGATGGTAAAATTAGGTATGTCCGCCGCCGCCAGGGTAACTAAACTGCGTCAAGGTAGAAGATCGAAACCGCGGTGCGACAATCGCATTACCTCTCCATTATATACAGCCGAGGGAAAACTGTCGATGTGTGTTCGCTTGGTCCATGAGCTTGACACGAATAAAATTGCAATCTCGTTGACTCGCGAAGCAATATCGAGCGAAATTGACGCATATTGTAAATAAAAATTAATGCGTTACGACAACACAATGTTAATAAATACGTTTCCTTAAGGATGTTTTGTACCTATTTTCGAAATATTGAGAATTTAATGAAAATTTTACAGAATGTCCTCACATATGTTTAGAATCTTCAGTACAATTTTTAAATCGATTCACTAAAGCGTTCACAAGTTATAAGGATTTTAATTTGCACCGAATTAACATGTGTTCTTATGGGAAACGTATAACCACGTCGATTCAAATCACAAAAACACATGGAAATAATATTCAGAATTTGTTTTAAATTTGCAAAAGTGTAGTTTAGATACAGAGGAAATATTTGGTCAAATAATATTATACAAGTACTAACTGGTTAAAAAGATATTAAATATAATTCAATGATGTTAGCTATGTATCTGTCACAAGGCGAAATTCTCTGCCAAAAGTTAATTATTTCGATTAACAAAATTCGGAATATTTCAGTAAAAACGCAATAAATATTAAAAAATACATCTCTGCACTGTAGCTAAGATCAAATTGTAATTTCCACGCAATTTCTCATATTACAAAAGTGGATATATTCGTCAATATTGATTTTCAGCTACTTTTTGGGGGGGATTGTACATACAAAACATCCTTAATATCACCTGATGATATAATTCATTGATTCTCGTCTATCTCCGTCTGGGTTGACATACAAAGTTTCGTATCGCGACAAAATTGCCAAACAAAAGCGGGAAAGTCACGCGAAAAATTGCATCAGGAAAGGTTCCTTTTTATTTTCTGTTATTTTTATTAGACATCGTAACTCTCGTGATGGTATCACGTAGGAGGATGATACACGAGAGATCCTGAAGACCCTTTTTATTTAAAATCTTTCTAAGTCTCACGTTCAATGTTTTTACGAGACCTCTTCATAGCCAACGATAGAGGGATCGCCTTACATAACTTACTGAGCAAAAACCTTCTTATTGTAAAAAGAATAAATTTTCGTATATGTATCCCTCGTGTATATAAATGTTATGTATATTATGTTTTGCGCGTATTATGTTCCAGTCTTCTGAAATATAAAGTCTTTCTGTATACATTCGTATATAGAGAAAATATGGAAATAAGTTAGAGATATATTTTCATACCTGTCAGGGGCAAACAAATAACGGCTATTTGATATGCTCGCTCTCTTCTCTGTTTTTTTCAAAAAATTTGATTAAGATATATGCCTCTAGATTCTTGTTTAATATTTACATTTTGTGCGAGATATATTGCGCATTCTTTGCATCGCGATATAAATTATTTATAAATAATATGTTGACAAACTAATTTTATGCATTTACAATTTTTCTTTTAAATAACTATAAATATATATGACTAGAAATTTAAAAATCGACAAAATATATTGCTTTTTTCGGAATATTTCACGTTGCTGCCTTTTTTCATCCTGTGAAAGAAAATCCTCAAGAATGAATCAGCGTTTTCGAGTACCATCATTACTTTAGAAAGCGGGGTCTTATCTGCAAAGAAGGGTTGCTGGCCTACTTATCTTCTAAAGTAGAGAGCGGTTCGTCAAGGGTGGTAAGCGCCTCGCATCTCCGATATTTTATGTAGTTCCATGAATTTCGCTCCCTTCCGTTTTAAAACGAAAATACAGCGCATGTATAAAAATTTAAAGGCTAGGTAAAAAAACTAGGGGCACGTATTCGGTACGTAAATTAACGAAAGCGACCCGATGAAAACGTCGTGTCGCACAATTTCGGAGTCCGATCGTCACGGTCGATCGCGCTATAGCTGAATGAAGCCACGTGGACTGCAATTGAGCACTGTCGCTCTGCTCGAAAACTTTCAACGGAAGTTTCAAGATTGAATGAGACATGGTACGCTGAGAAATTTTAAGTGCATAACTATGTTTAAGTAATTGACGCAATTTTGTTGGACCGCGCGCGCGGTTAACTTTTAAATTGTATTATTTATTAAGACTAACGATCTCCCTCGTAAGCCTTATAAACATTGATAATCGGATTAATCTCGCTACGCGCTTTACGTTGCTGTATTTTAACTTTCATTCGGGTATTCGAGGATGAAATCTAATTAATTTCTGCAATCGATTTTGCTTATTGCTCTGTACATAAATATTTATTTATACACGAGACTAATTGTGCATACTATTGCCGCTATTACCGGTCACTTGAAATTTACTGTTCGTGGAGAAGAGACGCTAAAATTGTTGCTCAAAGGGTATATTCCGCATGCAACACGTGTACCTAAGTAAATGAAATAATAACGCGAGGAGAGATACGGCTGGTACACTCAATCTTTGTACCAGGCAGCACCGGATACACGCTGCGCGAATATGTATACGAATAGCTTTACGAGCGACGTAGATTGAAACATATCGGAACATTGATGAAATAAAGGACTCGATAACGAGTCCATATATCGACATGGCGTTATGAAGCATCAAGTCGATGTAAACAATATCGTATTGAAAACAAATGTCGATTCGATCGTTATCGTTGCGGAAACTCTGCGGAATGTTCGCTTATCACAAGAGGTGTCGGGGGAGTTTCTTCATTTGAGAACGTTATATTAAAAAAATAATAATGCAATAAAATCGGATTGATCGGAGAGTCGTTTCTGAGAAAAGAACCTGAAATTTCGACAAAAATACAATCACGTATGTTAGATTTTATATTCCGCCATTTTCGATATATAAGTGTGACTAGTATACAGGGTGTCAGGATAATCTCTTCTCAAAAAAGGATCTTGTAGCTTACCTCGAGAGCTTTTCAAAACACTGTAATAAAGTATTTTTCGAGTTATGAGGCTTGAAATAATTTCTTAATTTTTACATAAACCATAAAATATATATCTAGTAAAATATTTAATTTAAAAAGAAATGTAATTGTTAATTGCAAGTTACATATTTTTTCTTCGAAACAATTATGTGTTTTCTTTACACCAATTGATTCCTCTCATTATTTTGTACATAAAAGTATCATGGTAAGATAATCGAAAAATGAATATTTTATTAGATATTTCATAGTTTATGTAAAATTAAGAGATTATTTCAAGCCTCGAAAAGTACTCGATAAAAAAAAAATATTTTATTATAGTGTTTTGCAAAGCTCTCGAGATAAGCTACAAGACCTTTTTTGGGAAGAGATTGCCCTGACACCTTGTATATTGTCACCGAAGAAGAGATTTTATTTTTATTGCCGGGAGAAAGGAGGGAGACAGAGAAAGGGAGAGAATCTTCTCGCGATCGTTTCGATCCAACGTCAGCATCCGCTGGTCTTCGCTTACTCTATTTTCGTCGATGTATTTTTGCAGCACACTCACTATATCGCATGGTAAATGTTTTATAACCGATCATCAGAGTGGCTCAATATCTAGCTGCAAGCTGCAATCTCTCTCTTATGGATGTGTGTCTTTCTTCCACTACTCTGCGCATTATTTATTACACGTATATATCTCGCCGGGCGAAAGATTTCTCCTTGACATTTTTCATCGTCTTCCTATCAGGTTTGTTAGGATAGAAACTTATAGGCATTAAGCGTCTACGCGGCGCGGATGCGTTCAATTATAAACAGGAGTCGCTGTTGAATCGATCGATCTTCGATGCACGCGAAAACCGCTGCTCGTACTTGCTGCTTTCTTATTAATAAAAGCGTTAAATATATCACGAGTATCGGAGGAACCATACGTGATCAGTATTTCGATCCATCACAGATTTGCAATAACTCTCTTCCTTCATGAATGCAGAGATTAGCTTAAGCAAAGATGATTTTAATAAACCAACAAACATTTAATTTTCTGATAATATCAATGCTCGATAAACAAAATTATAGAATTAATTGTTGTTGGAAAAATAAGATTATTAATTTTGTATTTGTCTTAAGGAGTTATTGTCGGGTCTAGTCATAAAAGTTAAAAAAAACAACGATTTTTATGTTTTTACATTTTCTTGAAGTATATCATATTGAAAATATTTCCAAAAAGTTTCAAGTTAATCGGATATAAATTGACGGAGTTATAAGTGTATGTTTCATGAAGCGTCAGAATATATAATTTCGTTTAAACACGACTTCAGCTCTGATGTTTTGAGAGCTATCAAGTCAATATATGAAGATTTAAATAAACTAAAATTATATGGGTCAAGAATAAATGATTCTGTGTAAATTTAAAAAATCTATATTTTATTTAAACGTAAACTTGACAAAAACCTTAAACGCGTATTTTTCGAAATCCCTCGCGTATTTTTCGAATTCTCCTTATAAAAACTTAGTAAATGAACAAAGGATTTTCTTTTTTAATGAATACTTTTTTTACTTAATAAAAAATGAGCAATTTTAAGTCGAAAGAAATATTTTAGTGTCAAATAGCTGTCATTTTGTTCCAAAACAATTTTTCGATTAATCTTTCGTTCATCTACTAGACAGTTTCATACATTAACTACAGTTTATCGAATTTTTTATATCAGAAACATCAGCTTCGAATAGCACTGCACACCGCGCAATGCTTTTTAAAAAAATAGTATCCGGCAGAATTGTTATAACTTTTACATTTTTTAGTATTTTAGTATTTTATTTTTAGAAAAAATATAATAACATCCTTAATATTTATACTTTTGAATAAAAATTTATTTGTAAAAAAAATTATTACACTTCTCAAAAAAAATTCTCAAACATTATACTTTTTTTAGCCTGCTGACTAGGCATAACCCCTTAATATAATTCTTGCGATAGAAACGCACATGTGCACCTTGCACATGTGCACATTGCAAAAGAGATAAAATTACGTCATAAGTAAATAAATATAGAGTATGCAAGATGTAATCAGTTTATGAAGATAACAAATTCAAATCTTAATTATTGTTACCGATCAGATGCTGGATCAACGAGGGCAACTATGTGAATGTGTTGGTTTACCCCGTATGTGTTTCCACCATGTTGAATCTACTCTTCTTATTCAACATTGTGCGAGTCCTCCTCATAAAACTACGCGCCGGTCCTGCCATCGGAACGCGCCCTTCAAGATCCATGCTGCAAGCTTTCAGGTAGTTGGATTCTTCATCCTTTAACATCATCATCTTTCGCATCAAGTCATACAACGAGACATTGCAAAAGAAAATAAAAGAGAGTAACAAAAATTCTTTTCTTATAAGTTAACAATAAATCTATTGCACATTTTTTGCACATTTTTGATCATGATAAATTATCAACGCAATATTATTTCGATAAATATCAATTTTCGCTCACTAATGTTATCAATCATTTACCATAATATAAAAATGTTAATTTATTATTTTAAACACAAATAATTGTAATTGATTGCTGACAGTTTGTCGTTAAACGTAAAAAATGTTGTTAGTATCTCCAAGCGTAGATTTTTATAACAATAATTATTAATGATGACCTCCATTTACGAGCGAAATTTAATATCTTGTCATTAGAGCCACATTACTTTTGGTGCCTCTCTTGGGTCTTCACTATTTAGTGATTCCATTTCGACCACCGAAGAAGCATCCTTGGGAGCATTTTTACGAGGTCCTTTCCGCGATTACAGCTTCTTTTCAAGTGAGTTTCAGGTTTCTCACACACACATTAATTATTATATAATTAAAATTAAAATAAGCAGTTTAATTATATACAATTATGTCGCCAAAAGCACGTGCCGTGCTTTGTTTAGGAAATTATATTGCACATATAGCGCACATATTTCGAAGAAATAAATCGGGCCAGAGATTGTTTACACATATAAAATTCTAATAAATTAAAATAAAATTCTAATTTACATTTCGAAACACATAATTGCACATTTCTCACATTGCATATTTATCGTTACAAAATATTAATTTTTATCTTGCTTCGTAAATTCCTCGCGTAACATGTGATATAAACAAATTAATTAATATAAAGTAATTTATTTTGTGATAATTTTCGATATTAAAGTTATATATTTTTAAAAATACAATCGAATAAAATGGAAAGCTTTCTCCAACAAAAAAGAGAAAATTTTTTTAATTTCAAAAATATTTACGAATAACAGATTGTATTCAAAAACAAAAATGTTCGTGCGCTGTTTGCGAAACGTGACACGGTTTTTTGTTTTTGTTTTTTTAACCAGAGGAATTAGTCGTCTCAGAGGTACAATTTTTCGTACGATAAAAAAAATACACGTACGCAAGTTATATATGCGATATATACGCATATGTGTCACGAAATATTTAAAAAAAAAACTGTTTAATTTTAACGGAGCTTTCTTTCGATACATTTCTTTTCAACGAAAATTATTAATAATTATTAATTAAAATTATTAATAAAATAAAATTATTAAAATTATTAATAATTATTAATAATTTTTTAGGTATAAACGAAATGCTAAAAAGAAAGAATAGTTCGGCGGTTATATTTTATAATACGATAAGTTTCATGGATGATTATATAATAACGTCACGAAATATGATTATTTTTCAATTTATTGTTTTTATGCTCGTGATATGATGAATAAAAGTATAATGTCATCGAGAAGAGCATTCAAATTTTTCATTCGAAGCAATGTATCGAGCGAATATCAAATTTTATATCAGAAAATTGCGCTTTTATTTATACACTACACCGCCACCGTGATTGCATTGTTGTATAATTACTTTACATCGCATTGATGGAGTCGCAATTTAATTGATCGATTTTATCGAATGAACTAGTTATCTTATCCGGGATTTCAAAGCTCTCGGAATAACCATTTTATATCTGAAAAACACGATTGTTAAAACGCTTACATTGACGCGTCTTAACAATATCGCCTGCAGCGATAACGAAACGATTTATCGATTATCCTCGTAATTTCCTGTTGCATTCGAATTTGCTGTATTCGTCATTTACATGGGAATAATTTCAAAATGAAGAAACATGAAGATAAAATATAGATGTGAATATTTTATTCTCGAAATATTTGTTCGTTTCTTTCCACAAATATTAATTTGCTACACTAATTCAACTTGTGAGTTTACTTTATGATATCATAAAAAGCCTCGTTTTCCTCAAGAGAAATAAGGAAATTACGTGGAGGAAAAGGGAATTGTGCGAGATGCATAAATATAATTTGATTAATAAATATAAATTTGCTAACTTAAAATGAAAAAGTACATTATATAATTTCATGGTTCATTGGCGGTAAATATTTGAAAGTTAATCGAGAAGAAGGAACTTCCGCGTCTCTCATGCGCAAGGAATTGTAATAAATTCCCGAGTCGGGAATTCTCTTCGGAAACGTTTCTCTTCGAGCTCGATATACAACGAGGTAAAATGTAATTTCTCTTTCCCAGGGTCTCTGCGTGGCTGTGCTTTTCTGCTTTTGCAACGGTGAGGTAAGTTTCCTATGACTACGGAAAACGGCTCGTTTTCTACCTTCGTGTAATGATATTTTCCCTTGTGGTGCCGCCAGGTAATAGCACAATTCAAAAGGAAGTGGGATGGCAACGCCCTTTTGCGGAAACGAGCCAACTCCTGCACGGCCACAACCGTCTCGGTATGCAATATTGACGAAGCGATATATGCAAAGCGCCCATTTTTGCGATTGAATGGATTTTTAAATCACCGCCTAAGCTTTTCACTTAACTTTCCACGAGAAATAATACAAGCGCGAAAAAAACAGATGGATTAAAAAAAATGGCAAAAACTCGTTCCGTGAAATTGAATTCCTTATTTCCACATCGTGGATTAATTTAATGAAATCTTTCGATTCTTCCTTTTTCTTCCTGTTTTCATCCCTATCATTACCTTTGTTACATTCCTCGTTGGAACAGAATTAGAGGAATATAATAGTTTTAATTTTTTCCAAGCAACAGCTACATATTTTTAACTATTTCGCTCGAGCGCTTAATTAATGTGTGCGTTAATTATTCACCTATTTGAGTATAAATAATGTAACGGAAACGCGGAAACGCGGTTATTTTTTATTTAATTCTTCAAATTTTCCAAGTTACCGAGAAGCAGAAGCGTTCTGAGATTTGCGTAACATTATTTTATTATATAAAGTAAATATATTAAAATTTTTTTAAATTAGCGTGTATTAATTTTGATTAAGGATTTATTTTGATTATCTGCTTGGAAAAATTTAAAATTTGAAGGAACAGGAAAAATGAATAAAGATAAAAATATCGATGTTTGAAAAAAAAAAAAATTCGGAATTTACAATTAAACCGAATGAATTTCCATCAATTCCTTTCAATCCTTCTGCTTTTCACAAAACGGTCGCGAATGCAGAGCCTTGTCGATCCGCGTACTAGAGAGTAATTTATAAAATCCTAGAAAGTAACTGCACTCGACGGCGTTCCCAATCGGGATATAGAATGGAAAGCAGCCTCGCGATTTTAACGAGAATTTGCGCTTGACGCACGAGAGTAACATTCTCACCCCGGATTGAAATTCCCGTATGCACGACTCGTCAATGGCGCGATGCGGACTAACGTATACCCATACACACGCACGCACCTCCGACCCACCCGCGTACTAACATCCCCGCGGGATGTGGATGTGCGGCCGTTTTAACGGTGCCGCAGCGATATATGCCACTAATCATGTGCCGTCGACGGCGAGAGAGGCAGAGATAGATGTAATGCGGAGAAAAAAAAAAAAAGAGGAAGAAAAAAGAAAAAAAAGAGATATACACGTCCGTATCGTGCCAGTGACAGCAGCGTGCTCCGAGTCGAGTCCATTGTGGAACGTTGACTGTTTCAGTTTATCCGCTCGACCGCAGGTCCGATGGCGGGAGAGGAGAAGGTGTGACTATCAAGCGGCGTCGGGAATGATGCCGGGGGACGTCGATTGCAAGCGGCCGATGGCAGGCGAGATTCACCAGCTGCAGCAGCCGCAGCAGACCGTGCAGATGATCACCGCAGACGGTCGCCCCGGTAATCACGGCAACAACAATCACGCGCGGGTGCTTATCAAGCGCGGCGACGACGATTCTTCCCACGACGAATGCGATCAGACGCAGTGTTGATAATCGCACCTGGGGACGATGCACGTGCGCGGGACCACACGTAGGGAAAATCCCCGAACCGAACTTCATCGTCGAGTAGACGCGATCAGTCGCTCTCGTCGATCTGTCTTGCCGAGCTGTTTCACGAATAGTGGTATAAGTCATAAAACATATATACATGTATATATAACATAAATTTTATACAAATTATGTACGAGATATTTTTAGATTTATTTGCGGGCGCGACACAATCATTTAGATTCTCCGCTTTTCTCGGCATTCTTGGGCTCCTTTGGAAAAAGGAAAGGGAGACTGTGAAAAGAAACATGGGGTGGCAATTGAATTCATATCGAGTATTTTCAAAATTCTTTTTCGAATATTTTTTAAAACGAGGTTTTATATAAATGCGACTTGTATCACTATTCCGTTCATTTTTATCCGTTCAAATATACCAGCAGGAGCTAAGGGGTGATGTGGATAAGCGTGTTTTATCCTTGAAAGAGAGGCTTAAGTTCTGGAATTTGCTAAGAGCACCTAAGAGCGAAGATTATTTTCTTAGAGAAAGATTAATTAACTCGCGCGAGAAAATTACAGATAAGCATGAACTTCAAAAATTTGATTTTTGTCTACTTTATGTCTATTAGTATAAATAATGAAGCATGAGCGGGATTGCGATAAATGTAAATCTTGCCTGCACAATAAATCTTACCTAAGACGACAAATAGAAGCGAGATCTCTTTGGATGAAGAGAAGAAATCATATCAGTAATAATTCGATCGCCATTTTTATATTTTCGAATTGCAAAAAGTTGCAGTAAAAAATCGATTAATCAACAATTACAACTCGTTTCTTCGCAATGTTTAAAAGCAATTAACATTTCTTGTTGATCATTTTGTGCTAAAGTTCGAATAACACAATTTATTTGCATATATTTTAATGCGAAATGTAGATATCTTGATCGATTATATATTCATTTTCACGACGCAATCATAGTTAAATAATTGCAGTCATTAAAAGCTTTAGGTAGAGTATAAATGTCGATACGATATTAGTCTTAACTGTACCATAGAATAGAGAAAATTGTGCAAAACTGTAAAAATCACAAGTGAAACAAATCAAATTTTCCAAGGATGGATTTGTAGATTTATGGTAAAGAGAGAAAGTGCTTTTAAGAGGCGCTTGTAAGAAGAATATATTTGCCTAAGGCGATAGCCTTAAAAATTCAAGAATTTTAAGAACTTCAAAAGAGAAAGGTACCTGAGGATCAATGTTTCGGATTCGGATATTTGCAGCTTTTGAGTCATCGAGAGGAGCGATATTTTTTCGCGTAATGGCCAAAGAATCTCCCTTGTTTCCCTCGTGTTTGAGCGCGTAGTAATCATTTTCTCATGTAACAAAATTTTATGTAACGTGTCAATTGTATAAACGGCTCTGTATGCAGTAAAATGTATCATGTACATATATAGCGTGTAATCTTGATGGTCACGCAAAAAAATTAAATCTGTAAGCGGAACGAATTCGAGATGAAAAGGTATTTAGAGGATTCAATATATTTTACGAATGGACAGACAAATAAATGAAGCTAATCAATCCCGACTTTAGAACCGCAACATTATTCATTACATCCTTTCACAAAGATTTAAACACTTATAATGTAATAACAATATTTAAAAAAATATCGAGTAATATTAAATTCTAACGTGAGGATATTTTTGTGTATTCTCTCTGTAAGAGAGACTTCTTACTCAACCGAAGCGTCTGATATGTCAGACTGCAAAGTTACTGACAAAGGTACACTTCATAGGCTTGCCTTATCAAATTGTAGCAGTTTCATCAACGAAAAATCGTTTATAAGATTTAAGTTAAGGAATTCGTTTGAAAGAGGTAGGGTGTACATTTCCTCACAATTTCCTCCGCTTTTGACATCGCAGCTACACGTTTCCGACCTGTAGGGCCTCTGAGAGAACCAGTTCTCTCGCTCGAGCTATATCGAATTATAACATCAGAGACAAGAAATTAAGCGTAATTCTCCTTGCAATGTAGGTCGAGATTTTTTCTCCAAACAGGATGTTTATCGTCTTTTTAAACCTAATAGCTTTGACGAAAATTTGTAACGATATATTAATGGGATAAATGCAATTTAATACTTTTTTAAAGTCTTTTAAAATGAAACGAGTTTATAAAATACGGCTATTAAAATTTCAGAAATTGGATAAATCTTAATTCGACATTAATATAGCGACATATTATTATATCGAAAGTACAATTTGCAAGGATCTTTTCGAATAATTACATAATTTGCATTTTTTTTTTCGACAATTTTTACTAGAGAGAAAAATAGATTTTTTTTCTAATCTTTATCACTTACAAAGAACAATGTGATAAAAGCTATTCGTGTACGATATGTGTGTGACTTTCTTACGTAACATGCGTAACATGCCATTACAGGATGGGATAAAATAAGAAAGTCATTCTGCAAAAACACATGAAGAATAATTATTGTAATCAGAGTTCTGAACAAATCTAGAAGAATGATAATTTACGATAAATTATATGTGTAATTTGTCCTCGCATGTCCGTATTACTCAATATACACGTACGATTCGCGATCAGATTGCCGCAGAGCGAGGAAAAACTTTGGCGATGATATTCGACAAGTTTTACGCTTTTAAAACGTCGATCTCATTTCCGTTCTATTAATTTTTTTCGTCGCAATTAAAAGTCCACTTAAACCCAGTAATTTTCACTGCACGATTGTACAAGACATGTTCATATATAATTGATTGAATGCAAATCACTCGCAATACGACATTTTCATAATCGTGCTCTCTGTATATATATATATATATATATATATATATATATATATATATATATATATATGAAAAAAATTTAATAATCATTTAATGTATGTAAACTTGTAAATCTTAGCAATATAGAAGAAATAAAAAGAAAAATATGCACGATTTTTTAAACGTTCGTGAAATACTGAAACATTGTACATTTAAATTTCACAATTTAGGAATATAATTTTAGTATTTTCGATAATAATAAGTAAAAATTGTTCACATTATCATCGGCATTCCAATTTCAACTCCTCTCTACATCATCGAAGATCGTTCATATATCGCGTAATACGCACGGCAAAATCAGTATATTATCTCTTTTAAAGACTACGTAGCGCATCTTAGAAATTACTTTGGAATGGATATAATAAATAATAAGAAAAAAGAGAGATCGTTGACATATGTTATTGGATTGAAATCGACGAATATGATTTAAAAAAAAACGTCGTTTGCTATTTGACGCTCGTTTCTAACTTTTCGTCGCTATCGCATACGCATTGCGCACAAAAATGCGTATATTTTTCAATCTGTCACAATTCAAACGTAACACACAACGATTCCACTTTACTGTCCTCTCTGACTTTACTCATTCAAACTAAGTAGTTGAAAAGATTTGCAAGGCGATTAAATTAATATAATACAAAGCAACAACTATGTCTCGCTCAAGTTTCAATTGATCGTTGATATTTGTAATTGAGAAATACACTCCCTTTCCTTCTCTAATATACGTCTCGAGTTTTTCTGCATATCATTGATACACACACACACATGCGCTCATCCATACGTACAAACACACTCGTATTACATAACTGTACAGATTGATCGTTTAAAGCTATTATTTACATAAACCCCCTTTATTTCTCTCTATATCACTTTTCCATAAAAATATAGCGAAGGTGTACGATTTTCGTTTCTTTTTATATTACGCTAAAAAAAGAATTCCGATAAGAAACATTTAAATCTATCTCGAAATGTGGATGGTACTTGTTGCTTCCGTTATAGTATATTCGACTTTATTTATGGACATAGTTTTATAGTTTATCATGCGTTTCGGTAAAGTTTTTCTTTACGATCTTTCGCTAAAGCAAATGCACGCAGAAAACCTGATTTGAAATGTCTCCATTAAAAAGAAACGAATGGGTTCAAATGACGGCGTCAAACTCTACCAAGGTTTTAATCTAATGTCTTTCGATGTGTAACTTGTGTAACAATCGTATTTCTTTATTACTGATATAATTGTCATGGTTTTTTTTGCTGCACAATTCTAGGTGATTAAAATAATCATATCAGTACGAAAGAATCTATCAATTACATTTAAGAAAGGAAAGAATTTAAATTTGTGTGTGGGACACACGCGGTTTGCAGATTTTAATCTTGCTTCTCAAAAACGCGACGTTTAATTCGTTATATTCGCATCCTACTGTCTAACGGATGGCATCTCGCGCGTGAGCTATAGTCGCAATATTATTATTGTCAAAAAAGTGCTTTATTGATATAACTAATATCGGGAACATAAAAAAGGTATTGTAAATTGTAGCTCTTAGTAATCTACACATAACGCGATACTTAGACATATTTTTTTATAATTCAAAATTGTATTACTCTGCGAAACGATTAGTGACATTTTTCTTCTTTCTTTTGGAAGCTTGTAACGTTTCGCAAATTGTCTTATTTGACGCACCTTTGACAAATCGATAAAAACGAAACATATTCTCGTGAAAATCGTAATCTCTTTTATGCTTAATCTATCAAAAAATTTTTCGAAGCTACAAACTACTCTTCGCTTACTCTACTGTACAATATTGTTTCGTTCTTCAAGGTACATATGACATATTTTTTTTCAAGAGTCTCGATCAGTCCCAAGGTTGCATTAATTAATATCTTACATTTTATTACAGAATTATAATTATTATATTCTAAATATCTCTCTCTCTCCTTGTTTTGGCACTCGTGTCTTATTCTATTTCTGGGCGTCACTACTGTCCTCCTCTACATCATCCCCCGTGCTGTCGTCGTTCTCCGACATATCCTGAACATAGGTACCTTGTATCTCGTCCGTTTGCATAGCGTCGGTTTCGTTTTGCGTCGCAAAATCCTCCTCGTCCTCCTCTTCCTCGATCTCATAAGCATTATCTGGATAAATATACTGCGCCACCTCGGTGTTAGAGTCGTTATCGATATCTAACACATTATGTTCTATCAAAATCGGATTACCTTCCGCGTCTTTAGCCATCATCAACACTGTCCCGTCTAAACTATGTATTTCGTGCACTTGATCCCCACTACCACCGTCTCTATCGTCCATGACATTTTCGTCCCCGGAATCTTCGTCGTACTCGTCGCCATCCAAGTCGTTCATATTTCTCTTAGCATACTCCTTATCAAACTCCTCGTTCTTCACCCCCATCACGTCTTTGTCTCCGACATCGGAAGCGCAATCGTCCTCGTCCCATGTCACGGGTAGATCGTTGTTGTTAGCCGCGAAGAAATTGGACGCGTTCGACGTTGCCGCCGCATTTTCCGCGTCATTTTTAATTTCCGTTATCTCACACCCCTCCATTAATTTGTCCATATTCAACGATACCATCGGACTAAGTTTATGCCTTGTACGATCCATCGTGTTGCTATGCTCCTCGGATTCGTTTTCTGGTAACAGAGGCATTATCGGACTCAGCACAGGCGGTCCGTCGTCGACGTCCTCGTCATTTTCCTCTTCTTCCTCCTCACCCTCGGCCTCGGCTTCACCTTCATCCTCTCCACTTTCAGCCTCGGCCTCGCTTGTACCCTCCTCGCCTTCACTTTCTTCTTCACATTCACCTCCATCCTCACCTTCATCACCCTCACCTTCATCACCCTCACCTTCTTCTTCACCCTCTCTTTCATCTTCACCCTCACCTTCATCTTCACCCTCACCTTCATCTTCCTCTCCTTCTTCGTCGTTTTCATTATTTTCCTCGTCGTTCTCTTCTTCATTATCATTCTCGTCATTATTAGAGAAATCTACGTCACTTGCCATAGCTGCAGCGGATTCCTGGAGACACAATGTCTGAAATTTGTCTACATTCGCAGGTGCGCCGGAAATCAATAAGTTATTCAAGTTACTCTGTTTAATTTGATCTTCGTCAGTCGCCGCGGAAGTGTTTTGATTCTCGACGTAATTTTCTTCTATCGCCGGCGAATTTTCCTCGCCGTGTATCCTGAATCTATCGATGTCACTCAATCGCGGCTCTTCCTTTTGCATCGCGCGCACTTCCGCTTCTTCCATATCCGATTCGTCACTTTCGGAATTGCACGATTCACTGTTACCGCTCGCTCTGCTCGAAGGTCTCGTGTCCGGCTCAGTCCTTGTATCGGACTCATTTCCGTTTTCATTTTCGTTCTCCTCCTCCTCCTCTTCCTCCTCCTCCTCTTCTTCTTCGGCCTCGTTCTCGCTCGAACTACTATTACTACCGCTATCCGAGTCGCTATCTGAATTGTCTTCCTCGCTATTGTTCTCTTCGTTTTGGATGCCTCTGCTACCTTCGCCCTCCGATTCAAAATCCGCTTCTTCAACCTCCTCCTCGATGACCGACGTTTCATCGGCAATCAAACTGCCTTTCTCATCATTGTCATTTTTCGCGTTATCTTCAATATCCGCTGTTGCTGCATGATCTTCAAATTCCGACTTGCCGTTGCAGCTTGTCGCGTGCTCGCCGAGTTTCTCTTCACTCGCGAAACCTTGTTGGCACTTCTCGCATCGGAAGTATCCGATATGAATACTCATGTGCAGCAGCAATTTGCTTCTCGCGTTGTGATATCTGCCACACGTCTTGCACGTGAAATTGTTGCCTTCCGGCGACAAAACGGGAGCATGTTCGGCCTTTAAGTGATCGGCCAAGTCTTGATAGGATTTGCACAGCTTCAAGCATACACCGCAGGTAACGGCCGCTTCGGCCCGATGGAAGCGAATCAAGTGCTGCCACAAGTGCTTCTTAGCGGGCCACTGTTTGCCACAGACCTCGCACGTGCACTCGGTATTGGTCGATTCGTCATACACCTTGCGTGAGTCTTTGCGCGAGCATTTGCTATTACCCGCTGCTTTTACTTGCGACAACGGCATGAGATTCGGCACCGGTTTCTGGGCTGACAATTGCAGATTGATGTCCTCAAACAAGTTGAAGTCAGGAATGTTCAAATTGGATTCATTCGTCAACGGCATCGGTTCTTCTCGCTGAATCTGATTATTGTTCTTCAAATGCGACTCTAGAATCGATGTCGAGATATTATTCGGAACGTCGAATCTGCATATCGAGTTTCGTCGCGTGCACGCGTTGATGTGATTCCAGAATAGGGTCTTGGTAGAAAATTGCTTCTTGCAATTTTTGCACTCGTAGTTGCTTCTGTTTCTCATTTTACGCTTGCCGTCACCGTTGTTCTTCTTAAACTTTTTGAACATACGGACGGGATCGGTGTTGTGGACGTTCTGATAATGCTTGGCGAGCGTGTCCGAATTGAGGAAGATCTCAGGACACATTTCGCAATCATACGTATCATTCGGCGATCGTCTGCGTTTGCGAGAATCGCTCGAACTTTCGTCACACATTTCCTCGTCGAACTCGAGATCGTCCGGTTCTTCTTTCACGATGATATCAGGCATTTCGTAATCCTCCCTCTTTGCACTGATGTCCATTCTATATTCGAAAACGGCTAATTGGTCCTTTGGAACATTGTGCACGTGTTCGTAGTGATCACGTATAGCATTTTCGTCCGTAAAAACTGCTAAACACTGTTTACACGTGAGGAAAACTTTTCCGTGACATTTCTTCGTGTGATCAAAAGCCTTCCACTTGGATGCATACTGCTTGCCACATACCTGACACGTATTCGGATTGGAAAGAACGCTACTGTGCTCCGCCTCGACGTGTTTCTTCAAATCTTTTGGATCTTTCATAGGAATGAGACAAACGCCGCAAGACACACCAATCTCGTTCCGGTGTAACGATAGTACGTGCATCTTCAACTTTAGCTTATTCTCCACGGTGTCGCCACAGAAATCGCAGACATTCGGATTGCTATGATATTTGTGATCTTTTCGATGAGACTCGAGATCCTCCTTAGTGCGGAAGAGCTTTTTACAGCTTGGATGGTCACACGTCAGATCCGGATGATCCATATGATTGACGCGATTGTGGGTCATGATGCCCAGTTTGGAAGTGATGGTCTCGTTACACAAATGACAGGTATACGTGCTGTGGTGATTCTCAATATGTTTCTGCAAACTCGCACGATCCTTGAATATCCTCTCGCAGGCTCGGCAGCGGGTCAACAATGCTCCAGGATCCTTACGGTAGTTTTGACAACCCTTCATATGACGTCGGAGCAGATAACGCTTGTGGAATCCTTTGTTACACTTTTCACAATAATGCAGGATTCCATCTTCGATATTCAAGGACTTGGAAACTACACAGTTCTGATTGTCTTTGCCACCTATCGTAGGTATGTACCTATGAATCTTCGCAATGTGCGCCGTAAGATGATCCCTCGACGCGCTCGTTTTCGCACAATACGGACAAGTCACGTCCGCGTGACCCTTATGTACCCTGTTTACATGTTTCCACAAGTGCGACGTGCGACCATAGTACTTAACGCATAAATCGCACGGGAAGAGATTGTGAATTGCTCGACGATGATTGCGTAAACTGTCCAGAGTCGTGAACTTGTGCTCGGGGCATTGTTCGCATTTCAATTTGAGATCTACGGCCCTGTTATTGCCATGCTCGAGTTTCACTGATTCGTTGGTTATCTCGTTGAGGTTACTATTATCACACGCGACATCCGCAACAGCCGCCGTCGCTTCCGCGGCCGCTGCTGCCGCTGCCGCTGCCACTTCCAAACCATGGATCTTTCTATGCCGTGACATTTTGGATTTATTGGAATACGGCCTACCACAAATATCACAGCTGAAATCACCATTGGTCAGTGGCCAATGTTTCGCCTTTACATGGGCATTTAACTGCATCACATCGGAAAATACTTTCAGACAAACGCCGCAGATCAGGGGCACCGTATCGGCGTGAACGCCCATCACGTGTTTCCAGTAATCGACACGAGTAGGCCATAATTTCCCACAAATCTCGCAGGTGTTTGGTGACGGGCCTTGGATCAAATGATGCTGGAGATGATCATTACGTAATGATTTTGTCGCGAATATTTTTCCACAATTTTCCCATTCGCACTGGAACGATAAATAATCACGTTAGAATCAGGAAAAAAGATACACAAGAAAAGATAACAAGAACCCATCTATCTCTCGAACTCACCTTGATGGAAGGTTCGTTGTTATGCATATTGTTGATATGCAACCAACGTTCCCATTTACTCGAATGAGAACTACCGCAAATCTCGCAAACGAAAAATAAATGATACTGCGCTCTATTACCATTGCCGTTGACATTCGGAGCGTTTCCACTTCCCGCTTCTCCTAGCGGAATTATCTGTTCAGACTATAAGGAAAATTGTTTAATTTCTATGCTATAAGTTATATCAAATTTTTTGTAACTTTGTAATACAAGGTCTTTTTTATATTAAAAATATTAATGTACGATTAATTTTACCTTATGCGCATTTCTTTGATGTCGTATAAGGTGATCCTCGTTTGGAAAAGATTTATAACAAATGTAACAATCTACTTTCTCTCCATCTTCTCCATCAAAATCTATTACTTGTTCATTTCCTTCGGTACCATTCAAGTTTTCGTTATAGTAATTACTGTTTAATTGTACAAAAATTGCAGGATCATATCCAGAATCGATATTGTGTATCGAGACATGAGCTATTAACTTTTTTCTTGAATCATGCTGTCTGCCGCATATTGTGCAGCTATACCTGCATTAGCATTTTACATTTATCATGTTTCATAATACATATCTTGTGTATTTTACAAAAATATTGACTAGTATATTACGAGATAGAGAAAAAATGTAATCTATGAAAAAAATTATATTAAAAAAAGTAGACAATATAAGAACTTGTACCTTCTTTGTTCCGATATTAAAAGCTTGGATTTTCCATGATACATGTAGAGATGACTTTGGAGCTGTGTATTATCGGAACAAATCTTTAAACATACTCCACAGGCAAGTGCAGCAAGTTCCTTATGCGTTGCACGCATGTGCAACCATAACGACGCTCGATCATTAAAATCCCTCGCACAAATCTCACATATAAATACTGTTTCGATTTCATTATTTTTCAAATCTTTGTCATCATTATCCAAATTTGTCTGCATAAACGTAATGCATATAATGAATCATATCATATCTTTAATACAATAAAAAAAAACCGAATAAAAATTTTATTTTACCTCGGGTGACGACGAGAATTCTGGTGGTTCTTTTATTTCACTTTGCTCATAAAGGCTGACATCCATTCGGTTCCAATTTTGAGACATTACAGATGTTTTTAGACACTTATCACTGTCAATGATAGGAGTAGGATCAACGCCATGCGCCGACGTAATATGCCTCATCAATGAAGACTTCAAAACGAAATCCTTTCGACACAGTATGCAAATAAACGGCTTCTCGACATCGTGCCTAACTTCGTGTGACTTTAGATTGTCCACCGATGTAAAACTTTGCGGACAATATTCGCAATACCACCTTTTTACCTCAGGATTCGTCTCACCTTCTAAATATAACGATCCAAAATTAGGTAGTTTTTTAATCCTATGTGTGAAATTTTCAATCGTTCTAAATATGTAATTTTAATCATTGAAAATTTTACCTATCTTGACTATTTTTCTCGCCTTGCAACTTGACGTTGAACCATCATCGTCGTAAATCCGTTTTAAACTGTCTCCTTTAGTCAATGCTTGTTTCAATATAGTCAACTGCGGATTCTTGGCCAGTTTAGCCTCAGCACTCCTAAAGTCTTTATTCTCGTCGTCCGAATCTATAATACTTGACATATCGTCGGACATATCGACTAAACTTTTATTATTCTGCGCGTCGCTTTGTCTTAATAAATCAGTGCGTTGCTCCTCAATACATATCTGACGATGCGCGTTGAAGTCTGCTAGATCTTTATAAATCATTGGACACGTTTGACATTGATAATGTGTTTCCGCGCGAGAAAAGGAAACTGATAATTCCGGGGGTGGTGGTAGACCGGCGTGTCGCGATTTTATATGCTCATCCAAATTGCACCGCGTTGAGTATATACGCGAACAATACGCACACGTTACCGCAGGATGTCCCCTAAAATAAAACAAATATTAATAATTTAGAAATGTTAAAAGGTTTATTTAAATGTTATGTATATAAAAGCTACTAAAATAAACTATTAGAAAGAAAAAGTAAGTTTTAAAAGAAAAAGTAAGTTTTAAAAGAAAAAGTTTTAACTTAAAAAAATTCATTCTATTCTTTAAGTAAAGCATTTCTAATCAAGAACTTTAATAGCGTTTACCAGTAAATTCGTTATATTGCATTACAATGACTAATTTATATGTAAAATATATAACTGTACAGATTTGTTGAAGCTTTGGCTCACCGATGTGTTGTAGAAACGTGTCCCCAGCGATGCTTCGCGGTAGAATACGATTTATGACAGAGATCACATTGATACGGTCGCTGATACGAGGTATGGTCGTCAGTAATGACTCTTTCGCCGATCACGTCACCCTCACCCACGTGAATCCTCGCGTGCAACGAAAGATGACCCTTGGAGCTAAATGCCTTGTTGCACAGAGAACATACGTAGACCTCGTGTTGCTGCGAAGTAGGTGGAAAGACCGTCACGGCCTCTTGTTGACTGGCTGCGACACTCGTATTGTTTGCGCCGCACTCCTCCTCGTTTTCCTCGGTTACCATCGGCGTCATTTCTAAGAAGTCACTAGGATTCGTCTCCATATCCATCTCGTATTCGTATTCCGATCGTCGATCCTCTGTCGAATCATCGAGCACTTTGTATCGAAATAACATATGCGTGAACAACAACTTTTACGAGATATAAAAGGAAAAAAAGAAGCCTTTGCAAAAACGAATGTGGACACGTACCTTCGTCCGTACCTTCGCTCGCATCGAGAATCTCTTCAATCTCGGGATCGGCCTCACCATCGGAATTCAACCTCGGTGGTGTACCTAACGCGGCATTCGGATTGACCACCGGCGCCTCCGGGATAAGTATTGGCATATTTTCCTTTCCCTTTAGAAGCTCCGTGTGCATCTCACTGCACTGCGCGCTATCATTTGCACCGTCATCGTTCGCCTACGACACATATACATCCAATGTATTTATACATATATAAAACGATGATCTCTGATTTATAATATTTAATCACATTCTTCACTCTCTCGTTTTAATCAGATGCGGCTGTTCGATGTTAAAATTATCCTTATAAATCTTTCTCTTCGTTTGACTTTTCGTATAAAAATAATGATTAAAAATAAATTAATAATCTATAAAGATATAATTGCTTGATTACATAATATCATTTATTTATACTCTAATTTTTAAAGAAGAGGTTTTAAAATATAGGTCCAATTATATCGAGAAGAGAAAATATCAGATTGCGCGATTACGTCTCAATTCGCTCGATATTTTACTGTCAAGTACACAAATCAGAGATTAAGTTCGTTCCAACGTCAGATCGAGACACTTACGTCTTCCTTGGGCCTATTTCTTTCCAGCCAAGCAGATGCGTTCACGCATGCGGTTCTAAAGTCGTAAAAATTTTCCAAATTATACATGCATCGATAACATAGGACTTTCGGCAAAGGATCAACTTCCTCTATCTGAAACATAAGAGGTTTCGATATTTTCGTAAAAAATGTGTCAATAACTTTATATTAACGTTAAAGGATTAAGCATAATAAATTTCTATTCTAATTCTGTCTCTCATCGATGTGTATATTATATATATATATATATATATATATATATATATATAAATATTTAATTAGAAATAATGGCTAAATTTATTGATAGTTCGATAAGCAGCGATAATAACGAGGTGAAAATTAAATTAGATATTTAATACGCGTATTGATTAAACTAATGTTTTACAATTACGTTTGTCATTCATAATTAATTTTAGAATTGTAGAATGTCGTCAATTCGTATATTTGAATGGAAAAAAATTGTAAATAATTATGTTTATTACTTTTAGATTATTTTTTTATTATATTATTTTGTTATCACGATATATATTTCCTGTGACTCTGTATTAAAACAAAATAGTTTACTAATTTATATTATAAGTCTGTCTTTGCGAATGAATCTGTCGCAAACAGATGTTATTATTGTATTTATTGTCATTTGAATGATAGGAAAAAAATTGTAAATAATTATGTTTATTACTTTTATATTATTTTTTATCGTATTAATTTGTTGTCGCGATATATATATTTCCTGACTCTCTATTAAAACAAAATAGCTTTTAATTTATATTATAAATCTGTCGTAAACAGATGTTATTATTGTATTTGCTGTCATTTGAATGATAGGAAAAAATTGTAAATAATTATGTTTGTTACTTTTATATTATTACTTTTATTTTTTATTGTATTAATTTGTTATCGCAATATATATATTTCCTGACTCTCTATTATAGATACGATTACAGATTAAAACAAAATAATTTCCTAATTTATATTATAAATCTGTATTTGCGAATAAATCTGTCGCAAGCAGATGTTATTATTGTATTTACTGTCATTTTAATTATCTCTTGCGTCGTTAAAAACTAGTAAATTCCTCGTAAAATGTTCGCGCCTCTATCTTCTCGTTATTAAAATGCACGTCGCACGTTGTATTCGTCACAGACGAGATTTCGTAACAATCAATCTCAATGGATATCTGCAATTCTAAGATGCAATTAGTAGTCTCTTTAGAAATTTGCCGAAAATTTCTCAATAGAAAAAAAATAGCACGCTTTTTACTATTCTTCAGCTAATCGAGCGAAAATTAAAATTTTCTCTAATATATTATATAAATTATTATGTAAAATCTTTAATTGTTATTAAAGAGAAGAAATTTAAATTTAATAAATTTAAGCTTCACCTTTCACGCGATATTTACGATATTTTTATTACAAAATATTTTTGAGAGATGATGTTTGTAATTCTTGAAAATTATATCATGTTTACATACATATTTATTTGAACTTTACAAAATATAAAACATTATTTACACAATCAATAAATGCATATATCAGTGTCATATATTGCACCGAATAGTAGTAACGCATCTCTTGAGGATCGTCACGTGCATCTAACATACTTCAGAATAATAGTGATGCATCTTAAAGGAGATCGCGTGGCTTTCATCGAGTATTTTTTATCCGTTTACTTGTTCATCTCTCGTTACGCGGAGGTTTAAATAAACCTCCCTTGTAAGAATAATAAAGCGTCGACGTAAACTCTAGCGTAGGGATGGATACTCGATTGAACGCGCTCCAGAGAGAGGATGCTCCTCGGAGCATCCCCATCGAGCGACAAGGGATGGTACACGTGATCGTGGGAAATATCAAAGGGCGCGCGAGGAAATCCGCCGGAAGGAGAACTCGCGCGTACGCGCTTGACCCGATGACGGGGCGATAACGGGCCGGAGTCTCGTGGCAGGAAGAGCGCCCGAGGAGAACAAACGACGACGTTCGCCGAGGCGGCAAACAAAATGTCGCCGGTGGGTCGCGTCGCGCGACGGGGCGTCCCTCCTCGCCTCGTTGTCGGCATCGCCGACCTCGCCGTCCTCGCGAGGCGCGATGGCCACTGGGTGGAATTGGCGAGGTCCGAGGACGCCGCTCGGCCATCGCGTTCGCTCGCGATGGCCGACGGCGACGACGCGGCGGTGGGAAGGAAACCTTCACCCAGTAACGCCCCGTCGACGCCGAACGAGTCGTCCGTGAATGTCTGTCTTTTTCTCCGTCCGTCTCTGGCGCTCTCTCTCTCTCTCTCTCTCTTTCTCTCTCCTTCTTTCTCTCTCTCTCATCTCGGAAGAATGAGATCGAGGACGAACCGTGCAGGGCCACGAAGCGCCGAGGGAGGTGACTCAGAAACGTAAATGAAATCGAGGGAAAGAGAGCGAGAGAGAGAGAGAGGGAGAGACCGAGGGACGCTACGAGAGACAAAGAGATGAACAGAGGGCAGAAGAGGATGAAAAAAGAAGTAGAGCGAAAGCGAGTTCCACGAGGTGCAGGATAATATCGCTGTCGCGAACAAAGAGACTCACCTTGAACGACAGGCACGTCTGAATTTTGTCAACGAGCTGCCGCTTTCTGCCTTCCTGGCCGAATATATGCATGCTGACGTTGTCGTAAGAGGCGCACAGACGACAGAGATCGTGATAAGATTTCCTCCGCTCCATCGGCATCGCCATCGTGCTCTTCGTTGCAGTTGCCAACGTCGATGTCGGGGTCGATGCCGATGTCGATGTCGACGTCGACGTCAACGTCGCCGTCGTCGCCGTCGCCGCCGCCGTCGTCGTCGTAGTCGATATCGTCGCCATCGTAATGTCGCCACTCTCTCGACAAAATTCGCGTCCCTCGCTGTCTGTCTCTCTCGCTCCCTCTCACGCTCCCTGTCCCCGTCGTAGCAGCGTCGCCGTCGACGTCGATGGCGAGACTACGTCGATGGGGAGTGACGCGTGACAACGTTGCAACGTCTCGCTGCTATCCTCCCAGCCGGACGGATGGACGGGAACTATGATGGACGACGACAACGACAACGTAATCTCGCGGTCGTACCGCTGCCCGGGACGAACTGGTAGACTCCGTGCGTTTCTCCCTCCGTCTCTCTTCCTCTCTCTCTGTCCGTCCGTCTCTCTCCTTCCTACCGATAAGGTAAGGCCCACACCTCGTCGGCTCTTCCTCCTCGTCTAGCTACCTACCTACGTGCCTACGTTCACTCGACTACCTGCCTGCCTCTGCCTCACCAACCACCAACGGCCTAGAGCTTCCTCTTCCGCTCCTCGGACCGCATCCTTCGCGACGCCGCCGCTGTCGCCGCCCGTGATGCGAGGCTCGCTGCGATACCGCTCTACCCGGGACAGGCAGCGCGCTGCACCACACTGCACCGCGCACCGCACCGCACCGCGTCGCACCGCACCGCGTCGCACCGCGTCGCACCGCGTCGCACCGCGCCGCGCCGCACCGCACCGCACCGCACCGCACCGCACCGCACCGCACTGGTCGGTTCGCGGTCAGGTCGTCGTAACCAGTCGCGATTAACAGCGCACGTTGCCGTAGCTACCGTAGCTCCGAGAGGAGAGGGCTTCCCTCCGCTAGCTTCTCGCCTTCACGCTCGTCGCTGCGGCCGCACCGCGTCTGCCGATGCCCGCTGCTGCTTCCTGGCGATCCCCGTGACGGTGAAAGCTCCCCCGGGCGCCGCCATCTTGTACACAGACACTTGTTTCGTAGCCGGCGATGGTGCGGACAACGCGGTGTAACGTTGCCGCGCGTACAACGACAACGACGATGACGGCGCATTGGTTAGCGCGTTTCTGGAAATCGGCGAGACCGCCTGCATCGGACGAAGGAAAAGTCGAACGGAGCGAAGTTGCGCGCACGCGACGCGCACGCTTCTCATTCGCCGCCGCGCGCCACGTGTCCGCTGGAGCGTCGTTCATTGGCCCCTGCCGCCCGCGCGGATCGGTCATTGGGCGCCGCATGCGCATGCGCGTGCGGTGCATCGAGTCGATAAACTTGAGCGAGCTTTGAATGGTGGAGGGAACGACCGCGAGTAATCCCTTATCTACAAATTGCCAAAGATCTTATTCCTCCTAAAATGTAATGTCTTGTAACGAGAAAAAAATTATTTTTAAAATTGTAGATTGTAAAAAGACAAAGTTGGCGCACCGTGTACTTTCTTTTCGTAATATGTACAGTTGCAACATATGTTATTATTAAAATTTAGAAATTGCGCTTCTTTATCTCCCATTCTTTACGATATAAATTTAGTCTTCAGTGGATAAGAGAGAAAAATGACTGCGTACTTTTTCTTTCCATTAAATGTGTGCGCAGAATTATTGACAATTTATTTGGACATAAACTCTCCGATATTAATGCTCATTTATGCATAAACTATGAAATAATAAGATGTTACCTCGAGGTAACGTATATGAGAAAGTATGCCATATTGTTGACACTTATCATTAATTAATCTGCATTAACAAAATGGCATTGCAAATCGGCTCTTTTCGTTTCGATTAATATTGCTTTTTCTTTTGTGCTTCTTTTACATAGATAAATTTTATATATGTACAGTTATCTGTTACATTTATAACTCATAAAATTCTAAAAATAAATGTAAAAGTAAGCATAATTCAATCTTATATATACATAAAAATAATTAAATCATGTATAAACATTTCATTCGACACTTTTCATAAAAGCTTAAAAAGAAAAAAAAAAAGACACTAAATAACAAATTACATCATTAAGTTCTTATCATTTTATCTTTAAATAACCAAAATAAACAAAGATTGTCGACAGAGGAATATTCATATGGAAATATTATTGTGTTAAGAATGATTTTTTATTCTTTCTAAGCTCCAAAGAATTTAGAACGGTATTTGTAATAATTTACAACTAATGCATAATTACACTTCTTCTTGTTTTTATCAACCGACTACGCATGCAGGTTTATTTGGTTTGCAATTTATAATTGACCAGAATAAGCAATTTATAATTGACCAGAACCTGCATGAAAATTGTTGACAATGCCTTTATGTGAACAAATGACGCCAAGAACGAGTCGAGTAGTCGGATGGATCAGAATGTGCAAAGTGTTCGATAAACAGAGGTTCCCTAAATTGATTTTCTTCATCCAGGAAGTATATCGGTTCACCATAATATGTGCCAACTTCCCATCTCTCGACATTCTTCATTAGCTCTGCCTCCTCATCACGATTGCGTCTCATCTGTCTCAAGACACTAGGCAAAAAGAGAAAATAATTATTAAACATTATAAAATTCAAAATCATCTAATTAAGATCTCTTGTTTACTTCTATTAGGAATAGTGCATTAAACGAAAAGCACATATGAACCTGTCATGTGATCTACATTTTTATCTAAGAGTATCTTAAGCATAAGCAGGTTGCCCTAAGATTTTATTCAGTCAGTAAAGTGACTGATACCATTTTCAGATCTTAAAGCTGAAGAGGATGTTAAATATAAGAATTATGAATACAGGCCATGATATTCTTACGCTCTATCTCGTTCCGCTATCAGTGCTGGCCATATAGCTAGACGTGCGCTTCTCATCTCAATCTGATTCCGTCTAACCAATTTCAAGTTCAAATAGTAAGCATAAAATCCGACAACCTGGGTGGCAAAGAAAATCGCCCATGTACTCTTTGCTGTAAAATTGCAAAAACACGAAAAATTGAAAACGTCATTACGTAATATTGTAGGTTACTGTTTAGTAACTCGAAGAATCATATCATACTGATAAATCTATCGCACTTTACCATTAAGAATGCTGCGTAGTTTAATCCGCTCTGTTTGGATGGGACCATAGCCTCCTTTCGGTGGTAAGTCCTGCATCCTTTTACTCGTTGCAGCCGCGTCCATCCTGCGTCAATAGCTGTGTCCTGCGATAGTGATACTCGAATTAGATTTTATAGAACATCACTTGATTATAACTCAAGAGAAAAGCCTCGAAAATAATTCATCCACAACACGTAACGTCATACTCGTCCTCCGGAAGGAGACGAGACTCCAATGTATGTAGCAATACGACACTAATTATAATATATATATATTTGATACCTAGAATTGATACGTATTAAAGTAATGAATACTGCCTAAAAAATATGAAAAACTACTGATAAAGTCTTCCTACCGGAATGAAAACTGATAAATCCAGCGAAAAGTACGATTAAAAATAATTAATCAAATTTGACAAGCAACTTTATTCGTTTGTCGAAATTAATACTTGGATAATGTTTAAAATTTAATTATTAAAAAATCTCGCAGAATTGACATAAAATATCAGGGGAAAAATAATAAAAGAATAATACAAGGATTTTCTCTCTTGTGGTTGGATTTTAATCACCTTTTACATTTTTACATAAAGTTGATAAAGTCCAAATCACATGGACAAATCAAGATACGTATGCATTGCTAAAGTCCAATTCTCATAAATTCGCATTTAATTACAAATGCATTTAATTTATACGTAATCATCGATTATTAATTATTATTAATTATTAATATTGCATCATTATTTTATGCCGACTTTTTAGACAGATCTAGAAAGAAGTCAATTCAAGTATAATAAGGCCGAGTTTCCACTGAGCGCGTCTCGCGTCGTGTCAGCCGGCGCGTCACGAGTTAACCAATCAGAACATCCCATTTTATTGCATAATTTGTGAATTTGCGCGTCTTTTTAGATAACGCATTGGTAAGATTGCTTTATTTTGGACTTTTGGATGAAACCGCGCATTTACCATGACGTAGCCCACCGATAATGAAATGATATTTATTATAAGTTCAAAATTATTATCAAAATAATATTTTTAAGTTCCAGTTATTACTCAGATATTTGATGGTGTAGCCAAAAGATTGTAATTAGTAGATTTTGTTGATTATGTCATGCTTCGCCGTATTGCTTGACATAAAAAAATAGTTGTTTCTTAAACTCTTATTTACAATTTAAAAAGTATCACAATTAATGCAAACATAATACAAATGTCTATGACAAATGTAAATTAAACTAAAACGATTTATTTCGGATTATTATGAGCAAGTTAAAAACATAAAACGTCTTGTCGCGACGCGTTCAGTGTGAATAAAAACGACGCTATTTCAAAACTTTGTCGAGACGCGCTCAGTGGAAACTCGGCCCAGTGTTTAATATCCGCTTCGAGTCACGTGCAAAATCGACCAATCGCGTGCGTTCGCGATGCCGCGTGGAGCGGCCGCTCTTGTCAAACTTGACAGCTTCGTGGCCGGCCGCGGGCTCGAACGCGAACAGCTCCATCTGTGAGTCACGACACATAATGGGATGCTTGCTGTTGATTGCATACTGAGAAAATTCGTAAGAGATGGTGCTGAACGGGAAATATTGAAGGCCTGCTGCGAATAGGTATGCGACTTGTAAGTGCATAGGAGTATATTTTCGATTGGCGTATATACGCGCACGGGGCGGATCGCGTCGCGGAGCCGGGTAACGCTGGTCACGGGCAACTCGGAGAGGACGCAGCCGTGGATGCAGCCAGCGTCTTCCCGCGGACCGCCGGGAGGATGTGGCACGCGATTATAATGCCGTTCCCCCGAGATCGAGTCGCCCGCGCTTCCACCGCGCTCCCGAGCCCTCCGCTATCCTTGCCCTCTTCCTCGCGAAATCGTGGACTTCCCGCGCAAAGGACCCGTCGCGCTTTTTACGCCCCTTACGACGAGATTCCGCGCGCGAGTTGATGCACCAGTCGGGTAAAGCGCGAAGCGAGATATGCCGCGGCCCTCAATGTCCTTGATCGAGGAAGAATCGACCTGTCGCGAACGTCGTGTTGATCGAATTTTTTTCAAGCTATTTCACGATTCCTGAGACTAAGAAGATTGAGCTTGCCCGGCTGTACTCGCATTTACATGTACACGTTTTTTTATGTACAAGATCATATGTTAAGATTGTGTTATTCTACTTTTTCCGATTGTTGTGCAATGTATTCGCGCGATACTAGATCATAATTATTGTAGTATCGTAATTTTGATACCAAATGTGATGTAATTATTTCATCCAAGTATCTTGTACCACTTGTATTTCACACTTTGATGTCACATTAATGTATATACATTTTATAATTCTACATATTATTTAATGTTTGTAGAATAAAGTGCAAGGATTATAGTTAAAATAATTCATACTGATATATATTACTTATCCAGCTCACATTTCTTTAGCTTATTAGATATATGAAAGATTGCGAATGGTTTTTGATACTTTTCATTGAGAATCATTTTTTTAATTTGTATAATAATCCAGAAAGTAGAATACAGTAATATTAAGTTTGTTTATATTGTATCCAATTATGTTAAATAATTTTTGCTGTGTCAAGATCAGGTGTTGATATTTTTGTCAAATACTTCACGATGGAGTCGGGAATAATTCAGGAGGAGTCGCCCCCTTTGCGTGGGTTAAAGCAAGTAAAGGTGGATAATTGGGGATCGTTTTTTCTCCAGCAAGTTCAGCAACTTTACTCTAATGAACAATTTCTTGATCTAAAAATTAGATTTCCTACAAGTGATATTATTGTACAGGTATAAATAATATATAGTGCTTATAATTGCTTGTAATTCTGTGAATACATAAGTAGCAATTTTAGGCCCATCAACTCGTAGTGGCGACATGTACAGACTATTTTATGCAACTTGAGCAGCAACAGAGAGAAAAGAATGAAAACTTTAATGGTATAATTACTATGCCTTCAGACATGCCTTATGAGTGTGTTAAATCTATTATAAGGTGCATAACTTATACAATATTTATTGTTAAAACATTCTTGTTGTTTTTATATGTATGATTGCATTTATATGCATAGATTTATGTACACTGGACATTTGGAATACTGGACATCAGAGCAACATGCTTTGTACCGTACGGCGCAAAAAATGAAAATGACAGTGCTAACAAAATTGTTAGATGCTCAATTCAATACGAGCAATTTACAGGCTGAAGCAACAAAAACACCCACGCGATCAGCAATAACTGTCTCAAAATCATCAACCCCAATCACAAAACCAGTCATTAGCTCCATATCGACTTTATCTGGACAGCCGTTGCCAGGCAGGAAGTACGTATTGCATGATGTAATGTTCCAAGCACAATTTTACCTATAATAGTTAAATGTCAACAATTCTTTATTATTATTGAAGACTTCCAATTTGGAAGAGAAAGCTGGACGAATCTCCATCTATGCCTGCGATGAATTACGAAGTACGAACATTCCACGGCACATCCTCCATGCATAAACCTCAGGAGACAACTCCTGGTCCATCCAGATTCGATCTTCCGGAAGCGGATGATATTGCTTTGGGAGTATTTTCTTCGTTCGACGACATTACGTATAATACAAAGCCTATTGTTCAAGCATCAGATGCATATAAAAAAGGAGGTGGTTCTCGTAAACGTTCACCGGATAGGGACAGTAAAAATGACACAACTGAAGACGAGGAGGAAGAAAATCAGGGGAATGAGAAAAGTCCGACAGACGCGAATTCGGATGATGATTGGAGTATATCGAAGACTTTTCAGAAATCTCCAGAAGGACAGTCTGTGAAAAAACGAGTCCGTTTCGATTTGGAAGAAAAGGAAAATGTGGAAAAGCCTAAGTCAAATAGATCGAGCACCGACGATTCCATCAACAATCACGCAAAAATCATTAGAGAAGTATTAAAAAAGTATCCACACTTAGTGAAGAACAATAAAAATATTCGATTGAAGATCATGCAGAAGGAAACGAAATCCTCCGATAGCAATGCCGGGTGCAAAACAAAAGTATCTTATGTGGTTCTGAAGTCCGATCACCTGTTATCCAATAATGGCGAGGAGAACGATTCCAAGTGCAACGGCAATATCGATGGCGAGACGGGTCCTTGGAAATGCAACAAATGCGACTTGGACGAAGAGTATACGAATTATTACATGTACAGAAGACACATGCAGGATGTGCACGAGGAGAAGTTTGATCCGAGAGTTTGCGAGCATTGCGGTTACAAAGCGACCAAGCGTAATATTCTGATGTATCATCTTTATACCAAGCACAACGTGCCACCGCCTAAGAGCATGTGCTTCCCGAAATGCCAGGCCTGCTCGTATGTTGCTCTTTCGGAAACTTTACTCGTGCGCCATCAAATAAATCACAATCATCGGCCTCCTACCCGACATCACTCTCTGCCTTCCGAGGATATCCAATGTGGCCAGTGCAATCAGTCATTTAAGAGCATCACTGAGCTTACTACACACGAATTGAATAGCGGACATGAAGGTATGGTAGTCGGCAAGGAGACGAAGGGCCATCGTTGTCCATATTGTGGTAAGGTATTTGTGCGTCTGACAAATTTGCAAGTACATTTAGACTGCGCGCACAAGGAATTAAGTAGGGATACCAATGAATCCGCGCCGTCCACACCACCTATCTCACTGGAACCATCATCCGAAGCGGAGGCTCTCAGTCATGTTGCCAGCGGTATAGCAGCTTCCCTCGCTGTTGGAGATGATACCGACGCAACCGTGGACACGCAAGAGAACGAAACTGTAACGATGGAAAAAACTAATGACACTCACTACATCGTGCCAGACATGTTAGATGACATAACGCGTAATATCACTTACAGCGAGCATGAATTAGAGGGTCAGCATATGATAATGCTGGTAAATAACGATGAAAATTACCAGCACGTCGAGAACGATCATCATCAGCAACCGCAGCAGTTGGATATCGCTGATAACGAGCAAATAGTGATGCAAGGTACAGACGATGGAATGATCGTATATATCCATGGCGCCGAGGAAAGCGATCATCGATCTTACGAGAGTTATCAACCTGCTGAAGTCACGCAGGATGCCGAGGAAATAGTCGAGGAAGTCGTCGAAGAGGTCGAAGAGGTCGAAGAGGTCGAAGAAGTTATGGAGGAGGAGGAGATGCAGGAGGTGACTCAGGACATGTTGGAAAATTGCACCGATAATCAAGTCGAGGAAGTGATACAATACGTGGAAGAACAAACGGAAATAGTGGAGTACGATGAGGAGCAATGCAGCGAACAAAGTAACAACAGTATGGACGAGGCTCAAGGATCCGTCATGATTATCGAGGAAGAGCACGTCGAGGGGGAAGAGGATATAGAAGGGATAGCTGATAAACAACGCAAGAAAATACAAAGCTTTGCTACTGAATGGGACGAGGATAGCGCGGAAATGACGGAATCATGAATATTGTAATGTTGGATATTATCTTATTTGCTTACGTAATATGTTATTAACTTTCATCATGGCTATATTCTCTAATTAAACGTTTTATTTTATATTTTACTCTGTGTAATGCTTGTTGATAGTGTTCGGTGATTTAACGAATGTAGTATAGCCATGCTGACTTTGCGGTTTAGCGGTAAACAAAATTAATCACGTTATTATATTTACTAGCAACAGGAGTCATGAGTATTGAAGAAATTATACTGCGCTTATATATGTGAATTCTATCGTTGCACCGACACATTGTATTTTCTGAATTTTTTTTTCGAAGCAAGCTTTTAACACGTGAAGTATGATATATTTTACAATGCAAAAATACAGAACGTACATCTCGATATGTATAGTCCTTACTGCGGAAGCACTTGTAAAAGACATAAGAATTTATAGCCTCAAAATAGAGAAAAAAATTTTTTTTTTATTATAAGAAAAAGTTTATATCTGCTTAAATATAGATATAAAGAAAATGTATGTTACATTTATTAATTAAGAATATAGATTAATTTTGTGAAAATCCACAGTATATGCACATAACGCATATCGCTGACCAATCTCGTAGATATAAATTGTTCTGCAAAAATATATCACATACAAAATAACTTTTGAAATAAATATTTCTTCCAAGCTCTGCCTCTTATGATAAGTGATAAATTGAATAATAAATTTCTATATAAGACAAAGATCCGTATATGATAGCAAATTATAACTGCAAATGGTTTTATATTTTAATAAATAAACTTTTTGCACGGTATCTCCATGTTAAAAAAATGTAGATAAATAAATACAAAATATATCTGTATCGAACATTTAGTACACGAAATTTAACTTTACATATTGACAAATTTTTTTGTCGATCCCACCCCCAACCAAGGTCAGGTTAGAAATAACTTAACCTTGTTTTTCGAGCTGGAAGTAAACGTCGTAGCAATTCTCCTAAGCATTCTAAAGAAAACAAGTTAAAAAGAAATGTGAAATATTTTTGATGAAGTATTTTATTTGCCTGAAATAAGAAGGTATGTAGTTTAATGATGTGATTTTTATAAAACGAGATAAAATTGAGAGGAAACATGAGCGGTCATATTGTACCAAGCAAGTCCACTGTTTACGTGTCGAATTTACCGTTTTCCTTAACCAATAATGACGTACATCAGCTGTTGAGCAATTATGGGAAAATTGTCAAGTGAGTAATCATTAACGATTGTCAAGTGAGTCATCATAACGATGAAATAACTTGTAATTTATAGTATAAATTTATCGTTTACATCCATTTACATTTCAGAGTAACGATATTGAAAGACAAAGTAACGCGACGTAGTCGCGGTGTCGCCTTTGTGTTATTCCTTAAAGTAGAAGATGCTGTAGTCTGCGCAAAAGCTCTCAATAACACAGAGGTACAGATTTAAATTTTTACCATTTACGCTTAATCATTTAATATATATCTTCATCTTTATATTATTTTATATATAATCATTGATTTGTTTAAGTAGCGCATCAAAAAATCAAATAATGACGCAATTTTATTAACATTCATCCTTTTTCCCCTCAATTGTATTAGGTATTTGGTCGCACTGTAAAAAGTTCCATAGCAGTTGACAATGGGCGCAGTACTGAATTCATACGTCGTAGAGATTATCCAGACAAAACCCAGTGCTATGAGTGTGGACAAGAAGGACATTTATCTTATTGCTGCAGTAACAATGCATTAGGTCCCAGAAAACCACCACCAAAAAGAATCAGGATACGAAAGAAAAATGTAAAGCAAGAAAAATATGATACAAGTTACCTTGATACCGATGATAGCGATGAGGCGACGAAAAGGCCAAGACGCAATACCAATGACATCGACGATGATGATACGGAAGAAGAGCCTGAAACACTAAGTGCTGTCATTGCATTCGAGGTACACAGTTTATAATTTTTTAATTTTGATTAAAAATTGAGAAAAAAATTAATTCAAATCTTTAAACATATAAGAAAAAAATCTATAGACTTTTATAGAATAAAATTTACATTTTCATTGATATGTTATTTGATCATTTCAGCAAAGACAGACTGAATTGGAACATAGACAAACAATAAATGAATGTAACAGAAAAGAAAAGTTGACTGTACCAAAAAAACGTTATAAAAAACACAATTATTTTAGTGATGAAGAGTATTTTAGTGAGTAATATATGACATCAAAAAAATAAATATTGAAGACATCAATAATAATTAAAAATGATTATTGTAAATTATTACAATTAATATTTCCAAGGCTTAGCAAATTAATATATTTATTTATATATTTAGCGAAATTCAATAGAATATTTAAAACTCATAATAAAATGTTCTAAATTATGTTTTCGTATTGGTAGATTTTTCTTCTCTCTTTTTTTTTAATTATTAATTACCCACATGTATCTTATTGATATTTTCCATTTGATTTGAAATTCAATGATTTAACATTATATTAAATTTAATATTATATTAATAAATGATTTGGGATAGCTTATTTTTAATTATTAATTTATCAAAATTACTAATAACACTCTTGTTCCTGAGATCTAAAATTTAAGAATTAAAAAATTATACTCCAGATTTGTTCTTATTGATTTAATTTTACTGTCAGCGCAATGGCAGGATATAATAATCAAATAATTTTAACATATTTAGAGACAGAAATTGTCTTTCTCATATAAGCTTTGAGCACAACACTTTTAACAAACAATATTGCACAAACTATCCAATAACAATATTAATTACAATAACGCATTTAATGCAATTATTTTATATATATATAAGTATATATATGTATATATACAGAATGCCCCAAGTTGAGTTTCAGCTTTAAAAAAAAAATAAAATATTTTAAATAGAAATTTAAAATTAGTCTTTAGTAAAAATTGCACACAGTATCGTTTTTATATCTTATCTAATATTAACATTTAAATATTAATCATATTATGTGCTAAGGTTCAAATTAACATGTGCTTTTATACATTTCTTTTAAATATTTAATATTGGTCATTTTAATGACAAAATTTAAATTATTATTGTTAGAATAAAATCTATTTCAAAACAATAATTATAAATATTAATATAAAATGTACAATATATATATATTGTAAATATTATATTATCAGCAGACATTGAGAATATTACTGAAATTGATTAATAGATGATACATTTCTAATTATAGCTGTATTATATATAATTGATTATATATAATCAATAAAGCTTTTATTATAATTTGATGTTACCTAAAAATAGTGTTGTAAGATTTGCTTGTATCATTGTAAAATGCTAAATGCATATAATAGTATATATGCCTTGAAATTATCACAGCATTCTTGCAATTGATTAATTTGTGTGTATCACGTTAAATTGTCATTAAACAAATTTTAGGTACTTTAAAAAAATAGATATGTATAATTTATATTTTTATATTTTGTAAAAAGAAATGACATTGCTTTACAGTAATAATTTTGCCGGATTGGACGATGGATTGACAAATTTATTCAACACTTATGCATAATAACTAATTAATAGAAATATTTACTGCATTATTGTGACGACAATCTTCTCAAGTGCATCAATTTGCTTTATTTGTTATTTCCCAGAAAAATTATCACTGAAAGACATCTTATTATGAAGAAGAAATATGTACCAGACAAAGATTTATTCATAAATTCTGAATGACTTTCGCACGACAAACTTTTTTCTTTTTTGTACTTCGTCGTGATACAATCGTTTATATAACAACTATTTATATTTAATAAATTTTTAATATTTTTACTGAGGAAATAGACCGATTCCATTTTATTCAAAAAACTCACAGAAACTATGATAATCCTGAGACTTTCTGTATATATATATGAATATATGTGCACACAATTTATTATATATGAGCTCAATGCTTTATATTTCATTATAATTTAAACGTTAGAAAATATATTAAACAAAATAAAAAAAGATTTCAGGCATTATAGATCTTTCATCTCCCAGCTGAATTAATAAAAACTTTAACGCGACATAATTACAATATACATTATATTCATATACTAATCCTATATCGAGGATATGGATGTATCACATTGAAATTTATGATACTATTTTTCAGTCCAACGAGAGTTTGCGTTTTAAAATACTTAAAGCAAGATTACTGCAGTCTATGACGCATACACAAAAATTAGACTATGTAACAAGTATATATGTAACAAAATTAAAATTTGTGTTTTTACCCTCTATGTCAGTCACATCCAGAATTTTATTAATTAGTACTAATATAATCAAGCGCGCTGCGACATTATTGCAAACACGCTTGAACCTTCTCGATCCATTCTTGTGCTGTGGTTGCGTCGGCGGCGCAAAAATTATACGTCCGTCTGTTTGTACGAAGCTGTAAGAAAAATGGTCCTGTCATGTTTGTCATTACACATGCATTGTGCAATATAGCAGAAATGAGATTTAAACAATATAATGACAAAAATGAATTATAACTTGTAAAATTAGAAAAAATACACATCGGTAACGCTAGTGAAACTTTCTATCTTGTAAATTAATTTATCCGAAATTGATATACTTAAAGAATCGATACATTTTTTGTATATTTAGATTGCATACATTATTCTATTAAAATAAGAATAGATTCTTACATCAAAGAAGGATTTATCATCCGTTTTCTTTGGTGGTCCGGGCATCGGTGCAGCTGGAGTAACAGACACCACCTCAGCCAAATCTGCAATACAAGATTTTATACAATTTGATTTTGTATAATATATATTTTGTTCCAATTCGTTCAAGTTCGTTCAAATTTTTTTCTTTTCGCACATCCATTTACGTATTCGATTACATACCTATATATCCTTTACAATGTGAATCCTCCACTGCATCATAATATCTCAATTGATGTTTTATAGAATCCAGTACAAACCATCTTTGCTTCCAACCCTTTAATAGAGCTCCCCGTTTATAAAGATAGCCTTCGTGCGTTCTATTTTCCGCCACGTTGCTCGAAAATTGTTCATAATATTGTTGAGAGCTAGTTTGTATAGTTGTTACACCTGTAGGCAAAATAATAACAAAAATTCTAATTATTAATACGGAACGAATTCGAAGAGATCATAATTGCGAAAATAATATGCGGAACAAAACTGTGCTTAATCTCATTTAATGAAGCTTGCATACTTGAGTTTACGCTTCCATTATCGCCACCGCTTCTTGTAAGCGTGTGAGTCTGGAGATTATCCGTCACAGCCTTATACTTTGTGCAATTCTTTGGCACAGCATCCGCGCATTTGTCATGACACACGTGGCCGCAATCGATACATCTTAATCCAGCCTTTACAGGACCCCATAGCACACCGGAACACGCATCGCAATGAGTCGGCGTCGCGGAATCCAATCGTTCAAACCTTCGACAAGCGTAAAGTGTAATTTGCACTCACGTGTTAATTTCAGTTTATTATTTTAGAGACACGGATCGTGAACGGTACCTATGCGGATGCGCATATACGGAGCCCTCGTTCCCGGTAGTGTTTCCACCAGCGAGTTTGCCGCGTAACAGCAATTCCAGGGTGGAGCGTTTGTGAATCAATCGACCGTGGTATCGCACTAATGCCGTACTGAACGACGCGTGTCGCTAAAGAAAAGAATTGCAGTCCAGCAAATTTGAAATTCAACAATAATTAAAATTCATGTAAACTTTTCTGATACATATACATAATGATTGCGACTTACGGCAAGTGAATCGGTATTCGGCAGTTCGAGTTTATCCCAGAGTACTTTCCACTTTTGCGGCAAATGACCCAGTTCGGTCTCCAATTTGTGAATCTCCTCCAAGAGATGCGAGAATTGATCGGGAACCATTGTAGTGATTCCATCGTATCTAGAAACGAATTGGTGTCATTTCTTACGTAAGAATGCTAAAATGCGACATTTAAAATCGATTCGCTCACCCCTGAGTGACCATTTTACGATTGCTCTTCACTACGCCATCCGCAGCCTCGGCCTCTTCCTCCTGTTGGGAATCTTGCTGCAAAACTTCGAGATCGTACGCCGGACCATGCGCCAGTTCCTCTTCCAAGTAAAACTGCCAGATATCGAGGCTCGGCAAATGAGAGACCGGTCGCAGAACAGGATTCTCCGTGTTGGGTGTATACATGAAATTGTAAAAGAGTGGGCATCTCGCATGTTGCTTCTCTACGTAATCGAATATACTCTGCCCGAGATTGCAGCCAGTATTTCCAGTTCCTGCTAATCTACCGCCAGGATAGATCGTGTCGTCGTCGCTACCAGTGTCCACGCCCTTGTGATGACTTGTCAGAGAACCTCTTTTATCTTCGATCGCGGTGATACCGCACTCGACCCGATCGAATTCGCAGTCTAACAGGAACGTACGGAAACGGCAAGACACCGAATGATAAGCCAGAAATTTAAGGTAATACTCGTTGAATTCGAAGGCCAGGGGAAATTGTTTCTGTATCTGATGCACTATATCGAGAAACTGTAGGAACGTGGGTGTGAAATTTGTAGTTTGCGAGTTCGCGGCGAGATTGCTCCTGTGGCCGAATCTGTGTCCGAATCCAAGCCATTCCTTTTCGATCAGGACCCTGAAACCGTCGATCGTACGATAGTGCGGATCCAAGCATACCTGCGCCACCGAGCAAACGGTAGTCGTAGTATCCCAACCATCCTCCAAGCATACGGCCACTGACGAACCTTGCATGTCCATAAGATCAATGACCGCACCTGCCAGCTGCATCAGATTCTGTAATTGCTGCAACCACTCCGAGCTTTCGATCAGTCTGTAGAAGCTCTGATCGGGCTCCACGTTTGGCGAGCTCGGCACGCATGCTCGCATTAATTTCTTAAACGCTGCTTTGGTATGTCTTACATCATAGTATTCCACTGGAATGAAATCTGTCTTGGGAGCGGATTCCGCCTTCACACCCTTCATGTGCGCCTTTTCGCCCAGGATATAGAGAGCTGCGCGCTGAAACGTGTGAACGCATTCTGTGCCACTGTCGGAATCCGCGGAATGTCTAACAGTTCCGCGCTGATGATGAACGGAGGTCAGGGAAGCTTGCGAGTTATGTCTCTTATCCTTCAAAGAGCCCCATCGCCCAAAGTTCTTGGGTCCTTTGCCGCCCGACGAGCTGAAAGTGCTGAGGGGTTTGTTAAACGGATTGCGACGTGACTGCTCAGGAGTGGCATTACGATCTTCCGCCGCCAGCAATAGCGAGTCTATGCTCAAAGAGCTGTCGGACATGCCCCATGCGGAACCTTGTCGCAATACGGAGAGCGGCGTCACGGCGACGAGTGCCATCATGTATTTTTCTTGCTCCAGAGAAGAGGTAGTTTCCGAAGACGTAGTCTTGAGGTTACTGCTGGAGGTCGGATGGGCTTTCAGCATGCCCATCACGCCTTTCCCATGATAACCCGCGCCCCGGATCAGCAGTGCCTTCGTTCGCGGATGTCTCCAGGTAACGACTGGCATTCTACTGTGGCGATGAAGCCTGCAAAAACGTCGAATGCTCTCGTCCGATACAGAAGTGGGCACGATCAGAAGCGCGGGATAACTCCGGCAAATCATGTAAGCGCAGTTTACCGAGGTTAGTCGAAAAGGTTCATTGCGACGATTATTGTGCGGCCCGTTCGAATAGAGACCTAGCCGATACCAATCCCTGACATAGCTACGTTCGGATAAACGTTCAAGGGTCTTGGCATCGGTCGGCGGCTGTGTCACCATGCCAGGTATTTCGAAGTCGTCGACGCTGAGATCATCGTCGTGACTGAGATCGTTGTTGTCGGTCATCGGTAGACTCATTCGTCCAGGCGATGTCATGTATTTATTGTTGCTATTGATGAGATTCATATTCGGCAGCACATACTTCTGGCGCTTGGACGACTGCTTCGGTTTGAAACCAGCTTTGCGCGCGGTCTTCAACAGTGTCTTTTTCGCGAAACCCTTCAGCGTGGCGTTCTTCTCCTTATTTTTATGATGCGCCGTCTGCGTGACTAGGATCTGACCGTTAAACGCGAAGTGATGAAAAATGTGCGGCGGATATCGCGCCTTGTGCACGAGTTTCCTCAAAGTATCGATATTCTCGGGCGTCACCTCCTCATCAAAGGCCAGTTTTATCAATTGGAACGTGCAGGAACGTAATTGTAGACCTTCCTGAAGACATTGATCCAGATGTGCAAGATGTTGCACGGCGACTCGCTTTTCCTTGGTAAGAGACGTCACGGGAAAGGCTCGTACGACTAATTGTTCGCAGGCGAATGGATCGCACGGTATACCTTTAAACACTATTCTGTAATTCGTTAAGAAGATGGCACCCTCGGCCGGCAAGAGAGGCGGTATCTTGGGCAGTCCCGCGGAGCTCTCCTCTCTGCCATCGGGCAACAAATAAACGCGCAAGCCGTCCATTATCACTTCCTCACCGGGCAACATGTTGGGCGTCAAGATTTTCGGTTTCTGTATCGGCGGCAGCCTTTTGCTTTCCCTATGGACCGCTTCGAGCGTTTCGATGTGCATATGAACAACCCCTGGCACCATTTGATGCAGGCATCGCACGTGTTCGGCACTGACGCCGCCTTCGGTGCAGACGCGATCGACGAATCGCGAAACCATTCGTATGACAGCGCTGCCAGTTTCATTTGGATCGGTCTCTTCGAATCCAGACTCGGCGTCGCCACTGTCACTCGCCACGCTATTCGTGATGCTATTACTCGCGCGTTCTTCGTCGTAGATGTGATCCTGACGATGCGTCTTTGAACCGATGTCTAACGGCACCAGCAAATAGACCATTCTGTTGGCGTAATGAATCGCCTGGCTATACATGGTACTCTCCTCGCTGTTCACGAGTTCCTTTTGCTTTTCAGGATCGATCGACGGCCAAATTCGCATTTGATCCGCGGCAATCTCCAGCGCCGACGGTTCCTGCGCTTGATAAATGGAATACCGATCGCGATACGGAAATTCCTTGCCGTCTCGCGGACTGATGGGACTCAGAATACCATCATTTATGAGTCTAGGCGGCGAATTGTCGCCCGGCAGATATAGGCGTTTGATATCTTTTTGCACGTCCAAATAAAATGCATCTTCCCAAAACTGTTGATTTTGCCATACCGGGTGCTCCTGAATGCAGGTGTACGCAAATTGGATCACACCGGTGCAAAGTTTTCTGCAGAATGCAGTGGCGAGTGGTAACAGCGCCGCGGCGACTCCATGCTCGTCCATCGACGAGTCGTCCTGTAACGCACAATTCATCAGACGTACCACCAGATCGAATTGCTGATGTTCCAACATGGCCTTGTTTCCGACCACGTGTTGCGATAGCTCCATGCAGAGCGCTAACCGGGCCGCTTTGCTCTTCAAAGCTCGCAAGACAGCTGGAAACGTCTTGCGAGCATCTGATATCTTGTTCTCGAATATACAGTTGATGCAATTGCGCAATACTTCTAGTCTACGAGCAGAGTTGCTGACCAGATGTCTAGTATCGTGAATAAACGAGATATGCGGACCTATGGGCACAATGCGAGGCTGAATCGGTCGTAGGGAAGACAGTCTGACTTTGAGATTGTTCTTCGCGAGGCCCTCATCGATGATCACTTGGACCTGCTCGGGATTGATACGCGGCAAAAGAGGTTGATGAATCCTCGCAAACGCACCTTCGGGTGGCTTCAGGATCTTCTGCACATACGGTTGAGGGTTCGGATTCTCATTCAAATACAACTGTTGCGCCAGTTCTTGGATATGCGTCAAAATGACTCGGTGATCCTGCGTTTCCTGTTTTAACTGATCGTTCAGATTACTGTAGAGTTCATCCCACACGTCGCAGGGCCTCCATGGCGGACCTCTCTCCGCGATGAAGGACGTAAAAAACATGCAATCTAAGACCCTCGTGGTAAAATCGCAGTCTGTAAGACCTCTCTCTCCCAAAAATGCCGCTTTGTGGAAAGTAATGACCGGTTTCGGATGTATTCGTATCAACGTTAGACAGCTCCGGTATCCTTGCAACAATTGAGCAAAGGTTCTCATAAATACCGCTCTAAGTTCTTTATCAAGCATGGGCGAATGCGGCGCCCTAGTAGCGAGCGGAGGGAAAGCGTAATCGGCGCATGTTAATTCCGGCTGCAACACTAAAGATAACGCATCCTGCGTCTGAGAGAGCAATGGTTCTGGTAATAAAGCAAGCGAAACACCATCGGGAACCGTTATAGAGCCTCCATCTAGATCGGCAATTATTACATCCATCTGTAAAAAAAAATTAAGTTTACAGTGAATATTGAATGAGAGAATTTAAACGCGAGATTCTTTCGAGATCATATTTAAAATTTGCCTTACAAGTTCCGCAACTTCGTATTTTAACGAGCTATGTACACCCATAATGAATGGTGTTGGAGTGCTGAGTATTTCGACTAAAGCCGCAGGCAAAAGAGGAATGTAAACGTGCGAGTATCTGAACGGGTACATCAACGCTGTCAGGGCGCGACATCCTTCGGTCAATCGAGAATAACTAGCAGAATGAAAAAGTATCTTGTGTTCTGTCATGACTGCGCAAAATAATACTAGCACATTACGAATACCTAGAAAATACATTGCAAATATCAATAATGTAACTCTACAATAACCAAGATGTATAAATCATTTGCGAAAATTTAATTATTATTGTATTCTTACCTAATTGCTGAAATAATAAATTTACACTAGTATGAGTTATAGGAAGAGAAGGACTAATTGGTGGTTGAAGCGCTTGACGATCACCCGCTCCAATGCTGAATCGTACCTGTGGCCCACCAGCAGGAGGTACTTGAATACATCCTAATATGTTTCCAACTAAAGTCTCTAATGGTATGCCAAGATTTTCCACATACACTGTATAAATGATACCGAGACAGTTCTACAAGAATAATAGATCGCGACTAATGAATTGAAATATACAATCAATATTAATATTCAATAATAATTGTATAAATAACACATACTCTAAATGTTTCTATATAATCAAGTCTGGAAACCAGCACCAGACATTTGGGTGCATACATAATGCTATGATGGGCAATGGCGGGTATCGCCCTGACCAGAGGTCGACTATCTCCATCAACGGGATCCTCTTCCTCATCTACTGGTTTACTTGGCACGATGGAGACCGTTTCATTGAAACACATACAGGCGCAATAGTGTCGATTCGCATCGATGTCTGTCAGTATCGACACAAAGAAGCGTGGCTCTTGTCTCTCCGTTGACAAAGCCCATCCTTGCGGTTGACAAAACTATACAAAACAAGATAGTATATATGTAAGTAGAGCGATATGATAGATTTGTTTCTGAAAAAAAAAGAAGAAAAAGTTTTGTACCCATTCTATTCCTTCAATGAAAGGTGTATCTGGCCAATCTTTCTCTGGGAATCGTTGCAATATAACTCCGCTACTCACTCCACCCCCTATAATCATGACGATACATATTACACATCTTTCCCAATTTTATGCAGCGATTAATTTTCACTAATTCCATGATTGCAAAATTCATGAAATAATCTCATTATAAATGCTACAGACAATTATCAGATTTATTTTTAATTGCACTTTGCTACTTTTCTTGATGCAATCTCAGTTTGGATATATTTGTCATTTATCTCAATATAATAAAAATATAAAGGATATAATTAGAAAATAAAGAACACGATAGGTTGCAATAATAAGGAGAAGCAATGGACACGACATTTCTGACGTGGTGACTTACTTTCTTTCTCGTGATCGTAGCCGACCACTACAAAGTAGTCGGCTAACCGAGACATCTCGGTGTATTCGTGGGGCTGAGTGGGGGTGGTTGCGCTCAACATCCCACGTCGTGTTTGTTGCGCGTGATTTCATGGACTGTCGTACCTGGCTCGCGACTCGCGTGCGGCTCGGCACAATAATAACTTTTATTACCTACTTCACGTCCAACGGTACGGTCGCGCGAATTGACTTCAAGGAATTGTCACAAGCGCATCTCCCTTCGCGACTCGCGTCGCGTCGCGAGGACCTCGCCGGGATCTCGCGCGCGCGAACAACCCTTCGGGAGGCTCGCGGAGAGGTTTAAAGAGGAAGGAAAAAAAAAACAAAAGAAGGAGGGGGCAAAACTGTGCGAGCGACGAATCTCTCTCGTGAATCCTCTCGCGCGGCCACGGGCTCTCGCGTTCTTCTAACGCGACATCGCGTCGCCGTCTCTCGCCGAGTTTCGCGGACCCGCCGAAAATAACGATGCCACACCCCGTAGTAACCTCAGTCCATAACCTTCCAAACTCAAACGCCACATTGGGGGTTTGTTGAATCCGTCCGCGTCGAACACCAAGGGCCGAAAACCGCCACGGTTACGTGGAACGAAGACGAGACTCGGATTGTTTTTTTTTTTTTCCCACGCCGGATGCGCCAGTCGATTCGGCCGACGTCGACGTTTTTTTCGCGATCGCGCGCGATTGGCGTATGCCACTGGAGCCCGCCAATTAAACTCGTCGCTCGGAGGCGATGCCACCGATGGTCGGTCACGTCAACGCGTACGTCACGATATACATACGGTCATCATGTCAGATTCACTCACTGGCTGACAGTTCGATTCCACCTAAGGGTATTCAAGTTCGGGCTAATCGCACGAGGGTGGCGAACATGGTCCTTCGTTTTGACAGGTCGTGATAGGGTCTCACGATGAACAGATTCGAGTACGCCGATTCCCGGCTCATGCCGAATGAGGTTTACGCGAGACGCGACATGGCCGTGCGTCTCTACGACGGCGATACAAAGGTAATTATGTCGCGGATGTGGTACTTGCGGGAAACCACCGATGTCCCTGAAGATACACGAGTGTGTTATTATTCTTTAGAGGCACATAAATGTTAGGATAACTTTTCAGACTAACTTCGAAGGCGGCGAACTAATCTTAACTAGTCACAGAATACTCTGGGGCAGACCCGGTGATATACCACGAGGTAATACGTGTTTGTCGCTGTCGCTTCGATATGTCGTTTTCTTCGAGGAAGAGAATCCCGGACCGTTCTCCTTTGGACGTAGTAAGAAGATTATATTACATCTCTCTGAACCTGCTGTTGGTGAGACTCCAAGTTACACAAGTTAAACGATTAATAATTTATAAATTAGACTAAAAATATTTGTGTATATTTGTTTAGATAAAATGCCTGGTCCGGCGGATAATAGTTTGTATAATTATGTCAAACTGTCCTTTAAAGAAGGTCTAGATTCACATTTTATAACTCAATTATCCGATACTATTATAAAACGAGTATGGGAAACTTCTACCACAGGACTAATTGTACTTAACAATGCGCACGATAATCAAGGAAATTCAAAACTGCTACCGCAGATAAAACCGCGAACGGGTATTATTGGTATCGAGAGAAGTTTACAAGCGAAGCAGAAAGAAACTGATCAAAATATATCATTGGCGTTTCGAGACCTCACAAAACTTATGGATATGGCTAAAGACATGGTGGCCATCTCAAAGACAATCTCTGCTAAAATACGGGTGATTTTCAATGATTGCTTTGTAAGGTTGACAGATTGAGGTTCATAATGCAGGATCATTGCAGGAGAGACAAGGTGACATAACGGAAGATGAAACTGTCAGATTTAAGGCTTACCTAATGAGCTTAGGTATCGACGACCCAGTGACAAGAGACGCGTATAAAAGCAGTAATGAGTACTTTGAACAATTAGCAAAGCAACTTGCATACATCTTAGAAGAACCAATAAAGGTTTGCAATTTACATATTGGGAAATATATAAAGAATAGTAGAAAATATTATAATTAATTTCAGGAAGTAGGCGGTATGATGACACTTACAGATGTTTATTGTCGTGTAAATAGAGCAAGAGGTATGGAACTTTTGTCTCCTGAGGATTTATTACACGCCAGTAGACGTTTGGCGCCCTTAAGTTTACCGATCGTGTTAAGGAGCTTTGATAGTGGTGTTATGGTTCTCCAAATTCATTCTCACGATGATAACGCTGTCGTGGATCGCATAACGGAATTGGTAAATATTCGATTATGCTATGAAAATGAAAATTTTTAATCTATCCATTACATCTTATCTATATAAAACTTTCAGTTGAAGGAAAGAGAATCTATGACGGCCGAAGATCTTGCGCAATCGGAGGGTATATCAGTATTGTTAGCGCGCGAGCGATTGCTAGTCACGGAAAAGTACGGCAAAGCGTGCAGAGATGATTCGATAGAAGCTTTGAAATTCTATCCGAATCTATTTTTAGAAGAGATATCTAACGACTAATTTTTAGCTGCCATGTAAGCATACGATTTTCTTTCTTTCTTCTTTTTTTATTCTCAGATTAATATTGACTATTGTATAAAACACCAACTCTTAAAGGTTTCATGCATTTCTCAAGCCTTCATGTGCTTAAAGTTAATGCAAATAGCTAAATCTCTTAAACACAGTTATTTTAAAATTAAAATAATTATTTTTATAAGTATATAATTGTCTTGTTCCTAATATTTAAATATTTTTTGAATAGTTTGAATTTTCAAGATAATATTCTTTGTGTATATGTTATAATCGCAATACTATACTGAATCATATATTTTATTTCATAGCCAGAAGAATAAAGTTAAAAAAAATTGAAAAATTAAATTATCTTAAATTATATGAGATTATGTGCATACGTGTGTGTATGTGTACTCCTGTGAAGATGAAATAAATTTTATATCTATATTAACATAATCTCTCTTGACACGCTTGAAACGAAAATGCTGATTGATGGAAAAAATTAAGACAACATGTGTATATATATGTGATTATGTATATAAATAAAAATAAATGTGGATTTAAATTTTTTTACCATAAGAGAGAGTATAAGAGAGTATAAGATAAGGTAATGAAGTGCAAAGCATCATGCATTTTAATTGAAATATATTTTTTTAGATTTATTCATTAAACGAACTGTGTAAATAGAACCGCAACCATGATTAACAATGATCGTGTATAATTAATAGTACATGATTTTTCGTATCTATGTTATTTATGCATATACAGGATGGAGATTATGTTCTAAAATAGCAATCCAATATATTTGCTACTATATTCTTTGGCAAATTTAGAATCAACTTTCCTTTAAATATCTTATATTTCTTACTTTTTAATTTTCATAATTAAATATTTTTATAGTAATTAAATAGTAGTTTAATTAAAGATTCTTTCAAAGTATGCTATTTGAAATTATATAATATAAGGAATAAGATTCTACAATTCTTTTTATATATCAATTAAATTTAACTTGAAAAAATATTTTAATTAATTTGTCTTTTTAATTTTAATTTCTTTATGATTAAGAAATATTAATGTGTGTTTTAATATTTTAATCATTAAAAAATTCAAAATTTTCTAAAGATAATCCAAGAATATATTGGCAAATTCTGATCTACTATTTCAGATGCACCCTGTATTAGACACGTGTTATATGTTGTACAGCATACAAATGTCCGCCGTACAATACCGTCCATCATTAGTAAATTACGGTATCCTGCACAAGTCAATGCAGTTAAATTTGTTCGCACAATTAATATAGTATAGTACAAGATGTCGTATAACAATACATATATATATATTATACCTTTGACGAACACAAGCTCGAACGTACCTGTTTGTTTATAAACAATTACTTTACAAACATTAATTTAAACACATTAATTTAAGTTGATTCTAAATTTGCCAAAAAGTCCGACTACTTTTATGTCCAATTAAAAGTAATTTATACACACAAGGTAATAAATCACTCGTATGTGATATATATTCATAATTATTTATATATTATACTAAATGCTCTTGAAAATAAAATGAAAAATTTGCGCACGCGATTTTATTCAATTTCTTTATAAAAATTAATGTTGACATCACGTTAGAATTGTTAGAATTAATTTGCGTACGCGATAATTGATTGATTTTCCCAGTAATTCCTAATGAGTTAAACATTCGAGGTACGTTCGAGTGCATTTTAAAATGCAATAGGGAAGGCTTGGCAAGGTTCATTTTTTAAAAGGTCTTACTTTAATCAACGAGATACGAAGACTATAACGCATATATACATATATAGGATGGGATGTGAATGTGCCCTTATTATATCACAGAGAGGCGTAACAAAAATATAAAATAATTTAAATTTTATATAATATTTTGTATATGAACTCTCTCTCTCTCTCTTTCTCTCTTTCTCTCTCTCGCGTACACTCATGCAATCGCTATGTGTTTTTCATGATTCGTCCCACAAATTGTTAACATTGTAAATTATTAATAATACCGATATATTATACTGGAATATCTCTAGCTATCGACGCGCGTGTAGTATTGCTATTATTTATTTATTAACATATTGCTTAGTAACATATGATTTTCAACGTACGCCTTGAGAATTTAAAACTAATGATTTTAATCGATTATATTTAAAAAGAAGCTATATAGTTATTGATACGCATACAGTGACGCTGTTTGTGGCACGAATCACTCTACACTATTATTGTCATTATCATTCGGTTCTCTCTATTTCTTTCATTCTCTCTGGCCATCTTTCTTTTCTTTTGTATTATATTTCTCTGAATTTCTTGTTTTATGTTTTCGCCTTGTCCTATTCCTTTTCTGCTGTAATTACCTTTCCATTGTGTGTGTCTTTTATTCTTCTACTTTTATCATTTTCTATCTTTTACCATAATATAACTAGCCTCTGACAAAATTAAATTCTGAAAAACGAGATGCAAACTATTAAACAGCTCTCATTTCTTTCCCCCTGAACTCGTCTTGCGCATATATCGTATATTTTAGATATTATCGTATACACGGAAATCCCGAGAACGGTCCGTATATCAATAGCAATAACTCGAGAGCGCATTCGTTTGTATTACATTCACATAACTTTATCATTACGAGGAAATCCAACGTATTTTCATTGGAATGAGGACCTTGAACAAAACTGAGCAACCGTTTTCTGCGCGACACCGTATATACGACATCCACGTGTAGACAAACATGTAGACACGTAATAGTAGACACGTAATATGCGCATAGACGTGAATCGCACATAGGTATTAAGAATAAAAATTCAGTTTTGTGCTGATGTACAACAGTGTTAGATGCTAATCTGCTTATCTTGGCTTATATGTATATGCGCATGTTTGCAAATTATGCGTATGTTTGCTTATGTACAATGCCTCGTTATTACATACACATACACACATGTTCATACACACGTACACGCACAGTTCTTTTTAAAATTAGAATCTGCAAATTATATATAATTACGCGTATTGTTTGACGCGATTCGAAAAAAGCTGCTATTTCAATCAAACTATTTAAAATTATAAAGTTATAAAATTATTCAAAAAATTTCAAACTTAATTAATAAAGAAAATTTTAATTTTCGCAAGTTTTAGCGATTTTAACTTAAAAATAGGTAAAAATTGATAGATTAAAATTATAGATAAAAGATTATATAGCCAAGTGTCGCACATATATGAAACTTATAAACAAATTTTACAATGATATAATCTTCCCCACCATTATTAGCTATCGTTATTAGAAACATTCGTCATTACAATTCTCGCAAAATACACATTCCCCATTTATTTTTCTGTCGATTCCTTCTATCTAAATTTATTCTTGCGTATATAATATACATATCAGTGAAGAGATAAGAATATCGTTCGCAAAGAGGGTGTGCCTTACAATTAGATTTATGAAGATTAATGAAAAGTGAGCGATATTAGTCCCATTAGTAATTGGCGATAGAAAAATCTGCATAAGTTAATAAGTGCGAAGTGGAATAGTGGATTTTTATGAGACGAGAAGAGTGTATAGATTGTAAAATTTTGCTCATAATAATGTATCTTCTTTTTTTAAGTATATATATATAATATATATGTACACGTATGTGCGCGTGTACAAAGACTAAGCTTGCGAGTTTTTATCATGTATATGAAGAGGTACAAAAGTTATAGAATAGGCGTTGAGGTCCAAAAGGCTGTCTAATTCGTGCGAGTCGTTACCGATCGTTTTTCTTTTTGTCTTCTTTTTAGTAGTAATCGAATGTCACGGGATTGCTCGAGGGTGTCGGAACTTATACGCCGATAGTTTCAAATTGCACTTTACAAACAATGGAATATAAACTCATAGAAATTTATTTTCTCTACTATTATAATTAATTAAATTTCTAATTTTTTAAATTTGGAATCATTTGAAAAATAAATTTCCCTCTCTTTTTTTATTTCTTTTTAATTTATAAATACTTCACTCTCTATGCCAAGTAATTTCTACTTAAAAATTTATCTATTTTAATTCTATTAGAAGAATTAAAAGAAATAGCTTCAACACAAGATTTTTAAATTAAATTAAATCTAAAATTTAAGAATTTTGCATGTAGAAACTTCTTATTAAAAAATTTCTTTTTTAATTTCTCTAGTTTTATAGAATAAATAATGTAAATTTTTTGTATTCATTGCATCCTGATCAGAAAAATACGCATTTTAAATTCTGCTATATTATAATAAACTTACAAGAAACGTTTAATAGATAGTAAATAAATTTTTAAACTACAAATCACAAAGACATAAATATACTATATAGGTCACTATCACATATAGCGATGAGATTTTTTTCGTGAAATAATTAGAAGAGAGAGATCTACAATTTTGCCTTACACGCTAATTTTACGGTATTCCTTTCTTATATCTAATCTAGTTAAATTCTAATGATAGTCAAAAATTGTGACCCTTAGTTCTTAAAAGGCAAGATATATAATATTGCCCAAAAACCAATGTGTAATATTTATACAGGAAACTATGACGATTATATAAATTGTGTATGTCTTATTTTTCACGAATGCAAAATCGTCAAATCTATTGCAAGAGCCGTCAGTCTCTCGAGATAATTCCGACACCATCGAATATTGCAATTGGGCTTCGATTTTTCGTCACGTGGATTATTTTATCGTGGAACAGATCGTAATTGATCGTGCGATTAGAATTAACGCACATATGTGAAAAAATACATTCTTATCGTTTTTATTTACGGCGATAACCGCGCAGTAACCGTGCGCGCCATGTATTTATTGTTTTTAGAGATGATAATTATTCAATCATGTATATGACACAAAAAAGTGATTTTATGGATAATGTGAAAAAAATTTTAAATTTGTTCACGATTCCAAGAAAATAAAAAGAGAGTCAACGTTTTCATGATAATGATAAATGAATTGCAAGGATGATGAAGGAAAAGTTCAATAATTTACTAACAACTACGTGATTGATTTTCAAGTCGCGTGGCGTCGAATGTTCATAGTTTAATTCCCAGACAGCACAAAAAGGCTAAAAGATGTCTTAAAGATGTCTAAAGGACTTTAAGGCCCGGTTCCACAACTCGAGTTAATGCGAGTTTAATATGTTAAACTGGGTCCTGATTAGTCCATTCACTACTTAAACTCGGATTAACTGGATGTGGAACTGGGAAGACGTCTTTAAGTCGTTTTTTAAATGTCTTTTGGACATGTGTGCTGTCTCGGTTCCTAAGAGACTTGCAATTAAGATCGAGATACATAAAATGTAAAAAGTAATTGCTTCAAAGAGTTAATTGCTTCGAGACAGATATGTAACGAACGCATTATTAAAAATTTTGCGTCTTATTTCAGTCGGTCGCATCAAATTTCTCTAGTTTTATCTATTCTTTTAGAAGAAAAATAGTTTTAATATTTAATCAAAACTATCTTTGCGATTTGCACAATTTCCTGGATAACGTTAGCACAAAATTTGCGCTTG